TTAGTGTATTATAGCTATCGTACCTTTAGTAAATTAATTTATAGTACTTAATATTAAAGTCGGAAAGCTATTTTAATAGTTAGTAATACAAGTTTTAATAAATATTAATTATAAGTTAGTTTCTCGGAGGTTATATAGTATTTAAAACACCTAAAGTTATAGAGTACCGGGCCGTAATGTCGGGGGTATTAACGTATAAAACTTTATATTTAGTTTAAAAAATATCCTTTTTAAATCGTATAGTATAAAGTTAGTACTTATAAAGCTACCCCGTATATTTTTCTCCGTTATAAAAGTAAAAAAAGCTTCGCGAAAAATATAAAGGAACTCGAGCTTACTTATATAATTAATATATATATATATTAAGTCCTTAATCTAGCGACTGTACGCTTACTTTAGTAGCCTAAAATAACTAATATCGAGTAGTTAGAGGTAATATAAAAAATACGGAAGTATATTGTTAATGTGTGGGTACTACTAAGTGCCCTACTTACTGCCCTACAAATTAATATTACAGTGGGCAGTACTGCTATAAGCAGTAATGGAACTTCCCGGCTTGGATCCCTTTAGAATATTCTTTACAAGGGACCCTTGAAGGCTTACAGGGCTACTGTGGCCTAAGGCTTAGTCAATAGATACTAAAACCTTCCAAAGTAGCTACAGGCTTACGTAGTAAGTTGCCACAATAGTGTGATTTACAGGGCACCTCTGCTACCGAAGATTCTATAGATTTCCGTGAGTCTACACTAGACCCACCTAAGCTCACCAAATGCCCCAAAATGGTATAGGGGCTTCCAGGGCCTACAGGACCCACAGTAGGCCTACGAAGGCCTATATATAGACCTCTCCTCTCTCCTGTAGAATAGTTCTCTTTCTTTCCTTAAGGGCAAAAGCTTAAGGCTAAGGCCAAAAGCCAAGGCCAAGGGTAATAAAGGCAATTCTTATTCCTTATACCTCACTATATTATAGTGCTTTACCTTCCTTCGGCACTACCGTCGTATCCTCCCGCTTCCGCTTACGCACTGCTGTATTTTACAGCAACCCTGTATAGGTTCTATATTATAGGCCTATCAGGGCTTACCAGCTAACATATATAAAGCATAATAATATTATTTTATTAATAGTAGCGTTTAAATTCGGTCGAATAATAATTTTTATAGCCGTTAAAGATTAATAATTGTTTTTACCTTTTATATAAAGCGCTGTATAATAACCGAAATACTTAATTTAATTTAGGCCTACTATATTAATAATCTAATTATTATTAATAATTATAATACGTTAGGTAAATAGTAAGTTATATTTAATATATTAATTAGTAAAATAATATTATACGGTTAAAATAATAAAAGGAAGGATAGTTTAGCCGAAAGTAATAACTCCCTAAATTACCGTTACTTATTTACGATTATTAAACTAAACTAATTTTATTTTATTAAAGCTATTCGAGGTTATAATTACTATACCCGCGAAAATAATACTTATTATAAACCTAATTTCGTCGAAATTATAAATATTATTATTTATAATACCGTACTTAACTTTAGTATTCCGTACGAGCGTAAACCATTCGGTAATAACCTTTAAATCCTCGCACTTAGCTCTTTAGTAATTATATCTATACGTAAAACGCGTACGGAGCTGTGGCTAGCGTTTAACGAAGTTATGTGCCCAGAGTTTACTAATAGAGGGCGCGTCGCGGGCGCGTAGTAGTTAGTTAGCTATATCTTCCACATTACGCAATCTTGGTGGAAAAGCTCGCGTATATAGCTTAATAACGTATTAAATAATAGTATCCTTTTCTAATTGCGTAACTTTCTCGAATTGGGCGTAGTATCGCGTCGTGCAGGCCTGCCGTCGCGTCGTCGCATAAGTGTCGCGGGGCTAACGCTATAGATCTTCGCTGCAGCCCGAAGACCAAGAGTACAGTCATTTTGGAGAGCTTCAAGTGCAAGATTAATTCTGGCCTCGTAGGAAGGTAAAGCCATGGTTCGTTGTAGAAGAATTCAAGGTTGAGGGTGGAGGATACGCGACGCGGTGGAAAGTGTTTCACTCGCTTATCTGTTTCACTCGCTTATAATGTACGTTATGCCTTTCCAAGAGACTCGTGGTAGATGACTGTTGCTCATATATCTTCATAAACTATGCTAGGAAATACGCTTAGCGATTCAAATGAACCCCTCGGCAAGATGGGGCACGATGCATGCCCCCATGATGGATGGGTCGATGTTCGGATCGTATTTGTCTACTCCGTTCAGTGGGGCGTACTTTTCAATGAGATACAGCATATTGTTGTACGCCCTAATTACCACCTTGGTTAGCCGAGCTGCAAAAGAAACTGATTCCGTCAAGTCAAAACACCTACGTCTTTCTCATGGAACTCTGCGGGTGGCCAGCGGAATAAACGATGGCTCCTTTGAGGCTGTACAGCCGGTTGCGATCGTCAAACTCCTCCACAGGCTCAGCAGGAGGGTAATTTTGTTGGTAGTGTTCCGTGTAGCTCTTGTCACGGAACACGGTACTGAATTCGCACCTCCAGTGCCCAAGTTCCATCTCGTTGTGGGCAAAGTATGATCCAGCATCGAAGAGGAGGGACTTGTTGGTCTCTTTGCTGATCCCCATGTTGCCCTCCCATAGGTCACCATGGATAATGCAGGGCTTGATCTTTTGACCATCTGACATCTTCAAGTTATCCAAAAGTTGGGGGATCACGGCGTTGGCGATTTGTTCTGTCGCGAGCTCCAACTCAGGCCACGACCCGTTGGCTTCGATGTCGCGTTTGCAGACTCCTAGGAAGAGTGTGCGGTAAAAGACGGCCCAGCTCTCTTCCCAGTCAGTCGTGTGAGCTATTTTGCCGTCACAGGTTTTTACAGGGAAGCCGAACTGTCCGGCTGGTGGTTGACTTTGTTTGTGCATGTTGGCTAGCCGTTTCGTCCATTCAACGGGATCTGGGGGGGTGGTCACATCCTATTTTGTGCAAGTAAGTTCTTGCTCTGAGAATGAACGAGATGGACGACGAACCATGTCCACGAATTCGGAGAGATAGAAATACGCAGCTTGCTCTTGTTGATAGGCGCCGAATCCAACGGGCTTCGGGATGAAGTCCGGCATGAGGTCGTAGATCATCAGAGACGACATGGCTTCCCCGTTCAGCATGACCCGCCCTTGCTCACCATAGGCAACCTATGAATTGAATAAATAAACCATCCGCTTTATCTAGCAGAACGATAGGTACCCAGCATCCAATAGGACCTCTTACCTTGATGAAATACTCTTTCTGGCCACCTGTTGGTTCCAGGGCCTTGATACGACCAGTGGCTGTGAAAGCACTAACTCCAAATTTCTCAACCGCGATCAACTTCGTTCCCATGGGTAGAACTACCGCATAGGTCTTCTTAGCATCCACCCATTTCTCAAGTCAATGACTGGGGAACTTACGCTTCAAAACAGCTTCTTCATCCATGGGGAAAACACCGCCCAGTCGAGCAAGAATTTCCTTCATGTTGCTCGACTTTGACGAGTTCTTAGCACTCTCCATGGTGATCTGCATCCGCTGATTACCCCTATATATCACAGCGGTTGGTTGGGAAGTTGGTTCGTCCGTGAGTGCATGCGGAAAGGGGTGGTTGTTGAGAACTTGAGCTGTCCACGGGGCTTGTTCGATGGAGAAGCTGTCGGTCGGGTAATGCTGGCGTTGGTGACAACGATAAGTGATGAGCATGTGGTTAGATGCATGTCGCACATTACAAGAATGAACGAGCCAACCGACCAGTCAGACCTTCTTGGATCTGCACGTCACCAACGGGACACCCCGCTCCTGTCTGCGTATCACCGCACGAAACTCATTCTGACGGAGACGCGAGTCTTCGAAATAGGGTCAATAACAGTTAACAGGCCCCAGCTGTGGCTCTCATGCGGTTGAAATAGCAGCTGTCAATTTAATCCCATCATTCTCCTACGGACGTGGTGAGTTAGGAACCAGTGTCTTTGCAAAACCACATTGGAGACAAGTGAGGGAAGAGGTTGAATAGAAAGGCAGGGCCTCATATCTTGTTTTGTCGTTAGACGAAAATAAGTAAATGGTAGTAAGTACAAGCTTCGAAAGCAACATTAAACTCTATAGTGGTATCTCTTGTATATGCGTATCCCGACAACAGCGGCACCAAAGAAAATACACATTGCCCGCCTGCTTTTGTGTATCCGTTTCCCTCTAAAATCATGTTTTCACCCAAACGCCGGCCATGCAGAAAGAAGTTACCCGGAAGCCAAAGAGAACAATGTCATCAGATATGAACAGTGAAGCTGAAATGAGAAAGTAAAGGGTGATCAGGCCTCAGTGGCGGTGGGCACCTTCTTGACGCCTCTGATCCTCTCTCCGAACAAGAAGAAGAGAAGAGGGATGGGAATCAGCCCGAGGGAGATGAAACCAAGGAGGGAGTTGCCCCATCCAAGGCCAAGGGCAATGTACATGTCGATAGCGCCCAGAGGGAGGAGGGCGCCAGCAAGAGATCTGAGCACAGCAAGAGCGGCGGTGACAGAGGCGGCGTTTTGAGGGTAGACATCCTATTGAAATCATGTTAGCAACTTTGGTTTCGGCCTTCAAAAGGACGAAGCAAGTACTGACCAGCAAGTAGTTTTGGCAAGCCATCATGATACCCATGAGTCCGAAGCAGAAAATCACAACGCCGATCATGGGAACGATCCAGTGAACGCCATAGTGGGTGGTCCAGCCGTACAAGAACAAGCCGATAGGAAGCGTGACACCGGCGGGAATGGTCAGGAAGGGTGTGAGTCTGATCTCGGGCTTGTGCTTCTCTCCGCTGCTGATCTTTTGCGTGACCAGCTTATCGCTCATGGCACCGAAGATTGCAATTCCGAGAGCCATGCCAATGGCGGAGGGAATGAAGACAAGACCGACCTCACCCTCCCCGAAGCCGTAGCTGCTGCCAAGCGTGTTCTGACCGAAGACAAGTGAGAAGGTGGTGAAGAGGAGGTAGAGAATACCATAGGTGACGGCGACATAGAGGGAGAGGAGGGTAACGATGGGGACGCGGAAGAGGAAGTACATGGGGCGTACGAGGGCGGTCTTGAGCTTCTCGGCCGGAGTGGTGGTGTTGTCGGCGAGCTTGGAGCGGAGGAGGGGGTTACCGGTTTCTTTGCGGAGGCGAGCGGCTCTGCGCTCGAGGATGACGGGCGCGTAGGACTCGCGGAGGGTGAAGAAGGTGAAGACGGCGATGAGGCCAGTGACGATGGCAATGAGCCAGTAGACCCAACGCCAGCCAGCTGCGCGAATGAGGTAGCCACCAGCCACCGGACCAATGCATGGTCCCAGAAGAGGTCCAATGGCCCAGACTGCCATGGCACGACCGCGGAATTCGACAGGCATCATATCGGAGATACTGCCACTGCCGAGAGTGATAGGAACTGAACCGGCCACACCCATGAGGAAGCGGAAGGCCATCATCATTGGAATGCCATTGGAAAGAGCCGTGCAGATGGTGAAGATGAAAAAGAAGACGTTGCCCGTGTTGTACATCACAGATCTGCCGTAAATCTCACTCAGAGGAGCGACGAGGAGAGGTCCGAAGGCGAAACCGAGAATGTAAACGCTGAGAATGAAGGTAGCGACGGTGGAAGAGCTCTCTTCAAACTCGGCCAAGATTCTGGGGATGCCGGGTGCGAACATGGAACTGCCGAGGGGGGTGATGATGGTGAGAACAGAGATGACGGCGATGTTCTGCCACCTCTTCTTCATGGGCCAGTTCATGGGGTTGTCCATGTCCTCGGGACCGTCGAAGTCGACAATGTTGGGATCCTGAACAGCCTCATCGTTCACGGCGGGTGAGTCTTTGCCTGAAGTGGTTCCTCTCTCTGATGGGTCGGGCACGATAGTGGCGGCTTCGAAGTCCGAGTTGGGGTCGTAGGCGGCCGGCTTTTCTGTCATTTTGTTTTGAGCGTCCATCTCGATCATGGAGTCTTGGGATCCTGTGCGTTCAGCTGCCATTATGTCCGAAAATGGGATGATGCCAATCCGGGGATCTGGGAAGAGATTCTTGGCTGACGGGAGATCGCATCTGGCCAAGAAGAGCCACGAAGAGGGAGGGCACCCATCGTTTTTGTACCTGGCGCTAACGGTCCGCGACAGGGCAACGCGGACTGTTGCGCCTGCTAACTCCCCGAAAACCCGGGTGTGGTCTGGCGACAAGATGCCTGGTTGCATTATTCCCGACCTCGGCTTGGCACAAACCCGGTACACTCGTCTCCCAGGGTCGGGTGCCAAGCACGGAGCATCTTCATTAAAAGGTTATGCCTCGGCCGGAGCGTCAACGACATTGTAACTTCTGTACTACAAACACATCTGTCTCGACTGATTCAAAATAGAGATGATGACGAATTGACGCATGCCACTCGTGCCTTGCAGTCAACCGCCACTCCTCGTGACAATTTTCAAACCGGTTCTATCAAGTCCTGCACGTCAGAGACGTCGGCCATTCATCAACGGCAATGCATAACTTGTGCATAAGTCTCCGGAAGCTGCGAAATCCGGGGCCCCACAGGATGACTTTTGGCGCCTGTCGACCCGTCCCAAAACACCACGGCAAAAATGATTTTTCGCTTCAGGAGCGGCCGGTGTCCAATCAGCAGTTTGGTTCCGAGCTCAAACCAACCCAAGTGGACTCGGTCAATCTCCGCCCCCCTTTGCACAACAGCGCAAGCCTTGCGCCAAAGTCGAACAAGGTTGAAGCCGTGAAGCCGTGAAGCCGTCTGCTTTTTTGGAAGCCGAACTGACAAGAAAACGTGGAAACTCGCCAATCTCATCTTGGTCATCTCAGCTGATGCTGAACCCTCGTCTGATCTCTCAGGAAATCCCCACCATCTCTGTTTCGGGGAGATTGATCTGGCCCCGATGCTCAATGCGGTTCGTCCCGTACTCGGATGAAGCCTGCTTCGGCGAGGCGGTGCTCTGTGTGATCAACACGCGGTGCGGCTCCGGAACACCCCCCGGTCGGTGTTTGCCGTTATCCGTATCACAGCCCACAAGCATTGATGTCCCATCGCGCCGAGAGGAAGAAGCTGTTCCGCCTTCTCGAAGCTTCCTTGATATATTAACCCTAACCTTTGAATCAAACAACACCAATCAACATCAATGAAACCTCAACATCAGTTGGCTTGCGTGGTCCTCCACACTTGACCCATTTCCTGACTCAAAACTTCAACAAATCCAACCAGGTCAAGTAGCGCAATGGTAGCGTGTGGTCCTCCTACTCAATTGAGGAATTTCAAGACTGAGGTTGTGGGTTCGAGTCCCATCTTGATCGGCCTGTGTTTTTTTCCCAATCCCTCCTCATGCAGAGGTGATGCATTGCGTATTATTTTGGCTTTCTCTACTGCATGCAGTACTACAAGGGCTTGCCGACTTCAGCAACATGAGCTACATTCAGCCCCTGGGTATTTATCATCTCAGTCACAAGGGTTGTTGTGTCAATCACTCTAGCTTTAGGTCCAAAAGCAAAAGCTTGGGTCTGCTTAGTCTGGTGTTGCACAGGGTTGCCTTCCTAATGACCTCAAGACAAAGGGGTGTTTAGACTCAGATGCTGTGCAGCAATAGATATGTAGCCCTCCGAATGTGATACGGAGCAGTGCACCTGTTAAACAAGCCAGGTGATACAAATATTCTCTGGGGGTTGCACAAGTAGAGGACAAGGCGAAACATCAGTTAGAAAAGATAGGTTCAAAGTTTCTCGGCCATAAAGAGGCTGAGTCCAACATCCTCTAGGTGGCTTAGGCTACCATGGTTGGGACCTTAGTTGTCCGAGCTTGTTTGCTTGAAAGGTCTTTGTATGACAAATTCTGAATCATTTCAAGCATTATTCGTCTCTTTTTACTACTACAGAGAACAAACACGGCTGCATGAGTTGTCTGAATCGTATTGAGCATAACAACAGAGAACATACCTAGTCTTCAAAAGTTGATGTGCGAAATAACTGCAAGGCTCTAATTAAATATACAAGTCAAATATCTAGTATAGGCAGACGCCCACTAAGCGTGGCCTTGGATAGCCTTTGGCTGGTAGAGTTCTTCAAGATACTTCTCCTCCTCCTCCGTTAACACCTTGCCGTTGGCAGAAATCACCTCCTCCATCCGTTCAATGCTGTTGAACCCGACAATGGGACTGGCAACTCTCTTGTTGATCCAAGCCAATGCAACGTGGGAAATCTATTTCAAACAGATCAGTCAGTCATCATATGCATACCCAAACAGAAGAGGGGGCTACTCACAGGCCACTCATGCTTGTCCGCCAACTCAATGGCCCTTTTGATAATAGTAATGTCAGGCTCGACTGTACCATGGGCCCCAGGCTGGTTATCCTTCTCCCCCTTACTCCTATCCGTCGATCCAAACTGATCCAGCCTCCGGGCCAAATGGCCCCTGCATAACGGCGCCCATGGAATCAATCCCACCCCAGTGTCGTTGCAGAACCTGTTCATCTCCCTTTCCTCTTCACGATACAGCAAGTTGTAGTGATTTTGCATCGAGACAAACTTGGTCCAACCGTTTCTCTCGGCACAAAACTGCATCCTTGCAAACTGCGTCGCCCACATGCTGCTCGCTCCCAAATACCTCACCTTCCCGCTCTGCACAAGATCGTGCAGCGCCTTCATCGTCTCCTCGATGGGCGTCTCGGGATCGAAGCGGTGGATCTGCAGCAGATCAATGTAATCCGTATCCAGCCTCTTCAAGCTCGCCTCGACCTGGTTGAAAATCGCCGCTCTTGACAGACCACCCTGGTTGACGTAGTCCTTGGACTTGGTCACCATCTCCTTATTGTTCTGCCAGGCGGCAAGCTCGATTTCTTCGCCGACTGCCCAGAAGCACTTGGTCATGATGATGAGTTTGTGGCGGGGGATGTCGTACTGCTTGAGGGCTTTCCCAATGAGGACTTCAGAGGCGCCGTTGCAGTACATGTTGGCCGTGTCCCAGGTGTTGAGTCCGCGGTCGTAGGCTGCTTTGAGGAGGGGGAGGGCCTTTTCCTCGTCGACTGCCCAGCTCATGGCGCGGGAGTCGCCGAAAGACATGCAGCCGAAGATAGGGACCGAGATACGGAGGCCTGACTGGCCTAGGCGGCGGTATTCGCATTTTGAGTTGGCGAGAGAGTCGATGAGAGCCTGCGTCTTAGGAGGGCCGCTCATTTTCACTGACTGCTGGGGGCTTTTGGAAGACCTTGGGTGAGGATGTGTTGTTGAATCGCGGTTGATTCTCTAGAAGATGACCAAGAGAGGTCTGACGTAGGATACTTGCTACTTATGCACGGCGTCCATCTATCCACAGAGGTGTTTTCTTTGCCTCCTTGGTCTCCACGCTCGGCTTGTCACAAACATGAAGCTACCCCGCACAGGTTGAGGGGCAACCTCCACGGGGTTAAAAGGGGTTAAGACATTGGTACCGATTGAAGCGCAAGACGTGGGACCTGCATCGTCAGAGCTTGACGTAGGAGCGGAACACTCGCTTCCGTTGCTGCATCGCTTGTGCCTGTATCCACTCCACCAGACTGAGATTATTGATGCCCAAGTCTTGAAATCATGATGCTTGGCAACACATACGAGGGTTGAGCTTTCGGGGTTTAGGATTTAAGTACGGAGATACGCCCTTTTGTTTACATTGGTGTGCCGCTCTTTGAAGCTATTCTGGATTGACGGTAAGGACTTGTCAGAGCTAAGGACACATATCTACACAGAGCACACAAGCATCAAATTACAATTAAAACTTCCTTTATACAAGGTTTAACAGCCCGCTATGCGCTCGCCTATGCATGTGGGAACAGTAGATAGATTCAACCCCATCAACAGACCTTCAAAAGCCAAATGTCCCCGGTTTTCTCAACCTAACAACCCTTTTGGTCATCAAAAGCCGCCAGAAAACCAACCGCTGCTCCCAATTCTTCCCATTTGCTCCTAAGCCTCATGAGATAGGGGTTCCAGCCGGAGGAGTAGCCACCTTCTTCAACTCAACGCCCTGCTCTGGATCGCCGGCCACGGGTCGACCACCAGCAGGCACCGAGACCTTGACATTCCCCCTCTCAATCTCTCTCTCCAGCTCCTCCAACCTGCTTCCCCTATCAAACTTTTTCCAAGCTGGCCTCCCCGAGTCAAATACCTCATCCATCTCCTCCAGTGTGAACCCTTTCGTCTCTGGCGCCATCAGTGCCATGTGGATGAAAGCCGCCCCGTTAAATGCAGCAAAGATGTAGTACATTTTGTAAGAGATGTTCCACAACAGCGGCGGCACAGCAAAGGCAAGTACCATGTTCCAGAACCAATTAGCCGATGTTGAAAGCGAAACAGCTTTGGCACGGATCTTAGACGGGAAAATCTCCGCTGGGTAGGTCCACGAGACAGGACCCCAAGTTGTGGCGAATGTAGCGACAAACAAGTACGAGCACGAGACAATGGCGGACGAAACAGGCCGGTTGTTAATAACAATCCAGGTGATGTCGCTGTTGTCGGGCGTTCTCGTCTCCTCCGTGTTGGGAAGTCCGTAATATTGTTGCAGGGCACCAGAAATGAACAGCCAAGTCATCATGCCGAATGATCCATAGATCAGGGAGGGACGACGGCCCCATTTATCGAGGAAGAGGATGGCTGGTAGGGTCATCACCACGTTGATGACGTATTGAATCGATGCTGTAGCCAAAGGAGAGGCAATCTGGGCGCCTTCCATGATGTAGACGATATAGTACCTGGTCATAATGTTAGTCTTCCATCCCCTCGCGTGAAAAGATGGTAACATGATAGGAGACCTACATCATGATGTTCATGCCACACAGCTGAGACCACATCTGAATACTCATGCCCAGTGCCACCCTCTTCAACATCCTTGGCTCAATGAGGGCTTTGAATGAAGACACAGCCTGCTCTCTCTCAAACTTCAAGGCATCTTCAATCTCCTGATACTGCGCCAGTACCTTGGGATGGCGAGCATTTCCCTTCCCATGTAGGTTCGCCAGAACCTGGAGAGCCTCCTCCCATCGATCCTTGGACGCCAACCAACGAGGACTGTAAGGGAAGAAGAAGAGACCGACGAAGAGGATGACAGCAGGCACCATTTGAATGCCCCATGGGATTCGGAAGGCGGCGGTTGGTTGATCGGGATCGCTTGGTCCACCTCCAGTGCCATGAGCAGCTCCGAACTGGATGAAATATTGACTTGATTCTTGCGTTAGCTCAAACTATCTCCGAACGAGAGAAAGGGGAAAACTGAAAGAAAAAAAGAAAGTGTGGAAGGGGTCAAACTCACATCAAGATACCCCAGGTGATAGCCCATTGTTGCAAGCTCACTACTCTGCCCCTGATCTCCTTGGGCGCAATCTCGCTCTGGTACACTGGCACAATCGCCGACGCGATGCCAACCGAGAAACCGCACACCACCCTGCCTATACACAGCATCGGAACATTTTGGGAGGCCGTCATGAGAATGGAACCGGTAATCCATAGCACGCAAGAGATTTGTAGCGCCACCTTGCGCGAGTACTTATCCGCCAGGAACGACGAGACGAGAGATCCCAGCAAGGACCCAGCGGGCATGGAGGCGGTGATGCCTCCCTGTGTGTATGAAACTGGGTTGTTGAAGTAGCGCTTGTAGGCTTGGGTGCCTAGGGTGCCCGACAGAGACGAGATGTCGAAGCCGAAGAGGGCGCCGCCTGGGGGTTGTCATTGTCAGTGTTTGTCTCGTTTCAGCCACAAAGCGTCCAAAGTCGTCAGAAAAGAAGGAGATCAGGAAGAACAGCAGAAGGAAACATACCAATGGCGGCAAACCCGCATATAAAGTAAACATTGCTTGCCTGATACATGGTGTCTGAACAGCCTCAAGCACCGCTGAAGAAGTGCTGTCGGTTGATCAAGCACAACCAAATTTTTGACCATGGCACGACCTGATATAAAACCACCAAACAATCAAACGATCAGCAGCCAGCAGTGTCGGTAACCCTCCCCCAAAGTAGAAGGTGGGATACGAGACCAGAAAGCAGCGCCCACATGAGCCCACGAGACGTAAAGCTTTCCTCTCTTTCCAAGGTCCGCGCCCGTAGGAAAGCATGGCACTTTTTGCATCTCCCACTCAACCGGGAACACCTCCCCGGATATCAACGGCACCCCATCCATACCATAGGTACCTCATACGACCAATATCCATCCTGTCCAGTAAGTAAAACCCAACGTTGCACAACCTCCTCCCACACCCCATCCCATCCGGCCCGTTCTCATGCCTCCTCCCTTCTCCCTCCCAATAAACGAATTAAGCTTACGATCTCATTGCCAACCATCGTACAACCCAAGACCATCAATATATTACCCCAAACAGGTGCCCCCCCTAATTGGCCCACCAAACCTCACCATGCCAGTAACCCTGCGAGTTCCCGCAAGGCCAGATGAAAATTGTTCCGAAATGTCTCTCCTGCGTTTATTGTTCTTAATCACCGGCATCCTTGCAGTGTTACTTGCCCCATCAGAAACCTTGAAACCTCATCCTCTGATACTCGTCTCTACCCCCATGTTCACGTGGCGTTTTACTCACACAGATAAAACCGGTTGGTGGAGAAAATTCCCCGCCGCAAGAGTAGTAGGAAAAAATAAAAACAGAGATGCGGGCGGCATATGCCGTGGTTCGTTTCAACGGCTGCTTTGGTGGTGGGAGGGGACGTTGCAATACGCCCATTGGTGTGTAAATAGGCACTGTAGGTAGGTATCCATACAATTCTGACAACAGCAGGTGACTTTCTCAAGGTCGTGCAGGATAAATGCACGCTACCCAAAGCTTGACGCCTTGCCATCATCGTGTCCATCGGATTGGCCGGTATGGGACTTCTGCCAGAATAAAGTGTGGCCGAGGCAACGCCGTTGTCAGAACCTCCCCAATCGTCATCATCCCGACCCCCGTGGGGCAGCCGTTGAGCTTAATCCTGGACCGTCCCCGGCGCACGGGGCCAAACGGTCCTGGGGTCCTCCTTGGCAGATCTTCAATGCCTTGCCAAGCGACGGGAGCCAAGAATTACCACGCCTCACCTCCCTCCTTTGTTCCCGATCCTCCACCCACCCACCCCCAATCCTCCCCGCAGCCACCCGCCAACGTGTGCAGCATGCAGTGAGAAAAGGGTGGACAGTGGAAAGCATACCTATATCATGGGAATAGCTTCCAATACCCGACAGGACTTTGATGTCTTGCGTGAAATGGCCCCCAGGATGCCCTCAACACCTGTTATCTTTCCATGTTAGTTTCACTGAAATCGAAGATGGAAACTGGAAAAAAAAAGGAAGAATTCGTGGGTTGATTAGAACCGGATGACGGCCTATGTAATACACGGCGCAAAAGACTGCGAATAGGCGGGCAGCCTTTGGTTCGGCGACGGTCGGGCTGCCTGTCCTCGCTCTACACTACAATATTGGGTAAGTATGCATGGCAAAGAGGCCTCAATAACCACAGAGGCCTCAATAACCACAGAGGCCACCTGCAAGCCAAGAGCTGCGACGTAGACTCTGTCATCACTTCAGCCTCGCTGCTTTACAAACGTGACAACCGCCTAAACACCTGAAGAGTCAAGGTGAAGGGCCGCAAAAGCATAAGGGGTGTCGACACAGACCCAGCCCTACAGCCGCGGTCAGGGAGCTCGGCTATCCTGTTGGGTGGAAACCCTGACGTCCATGCTCCAACTGAGTAACTACGTGCCCCAAAAATGGACATGATGATGTTGCCCGCACTTCTCTCGTAACTCTTGCCAAAGGTGTCAAGCGGTGCCCAAAGTCAGGGCCGCCTCCTGCTACCTCGAGTATTGCGGCGACGGTCGGAAGTATGATGAGACTGATGCGTTGGGTGCGACTGATGAGACTGATGATGAGTTTGCTGGTGAGATCGGGGTCTTGTTGGAAGCGGCGATCCCGGCTGCTGGTTAGCCAAACTCTCCAGGAAACTGCGCTGCTCTTCAAAGCTCGAGTAGTTGCCCCCCATGATGACACCGAGAATGCTGCCCTTTCCTCTGCGAGGATCCTCCGCCAGGGACCGCATCTTGTGTCGCAGATCGTCGTGAGCCCGGGCGAACAAGGCGAAAATGCTGCCTGTGTTGCTGGACCCGCCTGAGATGTCATTCTCTTCATTGTTGGGGTCAATGATGGAGAGCCGGTCGTAATTCTTATATGCAAACGAGTCCACTTGAGTCTGTTCAGAGTTAGCCATGGCGAATGGAGTGGCCTCATGCAAAGGAACAGACTAACCTTTCTGATATAGCCGGGCGGGTCGAGGCGAATGGCAACGTTCTGGTAGTCAAACTTGTTTCCGTACAAGTCGAAAAAGTGCATCAGGAGGTCACCGAGGTGACGGCGCGTGTCCATAGCCCCGCTCTGCACTTCGGGCATCATCTGGAGCATGCTCACGACGAGGCAAATGACCGAGAAGCCACCGATTCCGCCATTCACCGGTTCATTGAGACCTCGCATCAACAGGAAATGCTTGATCAGAGTCACCAACGCAGGCATTCCCGGATACATGTCTTTCCAGGCCAAAAACGTTTCAATAGCAGTGATTCCCGTGCTGTTCTCGAACGAGATGTCAACCTTGAGGCCTGTTTTCTGGTCAACAAACTTGGTCAGTGGGACTTTAGCTCTCGTAATGACTTCGATATCATCTTCCCAAGCCAATCCTTCTCTCAAAAGAAAGTTCTTGAATTGCCAGAGATGCTTCTTCAAGTTGTATTTCGCAGGCCCGCCGTGCAGGTAGCTGTCGGATACCATGACCATGTCCATGTCACCAGTTGGGAGGTAGAGGCCAGATGGAAACGAGCCAAAAGGTTGCATGTCCGAGTCACGCCAGTATCGGCGACAGAATGATCTCATCCGTTGCACCAGATCATGACGGAGGTGCTGCTCAAATTCTCGGGGTTTGATATAGTCATAAAAATCCACGATCTCCTTGTGAAGCCTTACGGAAGACAGCATTAGTTGCGGTTCATGTAAGGGGTTCAAAACGGACATACCAGACTATGGGATCTTTCGAATCTGAGTTGTCCATTCGTAACCAAGGAGTGACTGACGTATGAGGAAGTGCTCGCCATTCCGGGATGATGTGCCCCCCCGAGGGCGCCTTGGCCGGTCTCTTGATCCTTGTATGGGGCATTTTTATCCGATCGTCATGCGTGCGTTTTCGGCTACCCAACGCAGCAGGGGTGGGATCGGGCATCAGAACCGGAACTCTAGATGGCCTACCAGAACCAGTATCCTTGTGGGGGAGAGTTGTGTCCTTGGCTGCAGGGGCACTCTCCAGCCCTGGTTTGCTTGTAGATACCAGATCGGATTCCTTGATATGCTCGCTGTCCTCGCTGTCATGGCCATCGTCACTGTCATCAAAGTCAAGGGAGATGAAGTCAGCAGCCTCACTAGGGAGTGATGTCCTGGTCTCCTTGGCCTGAACACGGGCCTTGCGGATCAGTTGCACAACGTCTTTCTTCTTTTGGCCAGAAGTCTCCGGCGGTAAAGCTGTGTAAGGGTCGGGGTTGGACCACTTTGGCACATCATCGGCAGCCGACTGATCGATCGAAACCCGGGCTCGTTTGCTGGACGGTTCAGCGTCGCTGTTCTCTTCGTCACCAGAGATATCCATCTCGGCCTCTTCGCTATCTGAGAGCTCGTCCAGATTTCTGTATGTTACGCCGCCTTGCTCGTCAAAGAATGCTTGCTCGTCACCAACATTGTGGTCGGTGTGAAGAAGATCTCGCTCGGCAGCCACAAATGGTCGCCATGGTTGGCGAAACTTCCCACCTCGGCCTAGACGACCTCGGGCACCTGGGCCGCTGCGGAAATCACGCCCTCCACGGCCACCTTGAGGCCCCCGATCATTGCGAGGTCTGCGGTTGTTCTGGGGCCGGTAAGAGTCCGGCTCCTGCTGCAGTCCGACAGGTTTCTCTACCCGAAAGGTGAAGTCGCTTTGCGGCATACGGTAGTTGTCGACACCCGGCGGGGGCGGATACGAGGGCTGAGGAGGAGGATTGTGTGCTGGCGGCGCGGGTGCGGGGGCTCCGTAGGACGAGCGGGAGTCGTATCCGTTGTGCTTTGAATGGCCATAACTGTTCGATGAGGGACTGGGAGGGCGATAAGAGTCGCCATTGTCCCTGTAGTCTCGGCGGGGCGGGGGGGACGAAACGCGGGCACGCGAGGAGCGGTCACGGTTGTTGCGATCATTGCCGTGGCGATAATCGCGCGACTGGCTGTCGTAGCCGTGTTTCGACTGTTGTCGCCGTGAGTTGTAGGACATGTTGGTCGCCTTGATCCACTGATGCCGGCGAGGCGATGTTGGTCGGACGTTGATTCTGGCGACCAAAGCTGAACGCGCTCCGACTCGACCGTTGGGTATCCAGATTTTGAATTCAAGGTTCAAATTCCCAGGGAAGTGGGCAAGGCCAAAAGTTACCTTGGCGTGCGCCGGGCAAGCTTGTAGTAGCGCTAAGGCCTAGATAAAGCTAGCGCAGCTGCCCCACCTGCCAACCGAGCAACCTATAAAATGCTAAATGCACACTCCAAATGGCTCAAATGCTTGGCATCTCAATCTGGTGGAAGTGAAAGAAAGAGCTACCGAATACCTTGTGGCTTTAAAGGCCAATCAGGTTTTCTGCCAAAAGAATGCATTACTATACAAACAAGACAAATCTTGGGTGTGTGTGTGGGGTTGGGGGGGGGGGGGGTTGGGGGTATCATAGCTAAGGTATATTTTACATGTTTTCATCTTAATGTATCAACCCCAAGCCCAAGCGCAAACTTCCGAGCCACCCACGCGGCTCCGTGTTCTTCATATTCTTGCTTGGTCACTGCCAATCGGTCTGCGTGTTCATGCCTGGCAAAGTTGGCAGCACCCAGCCAGGTGCTGACAATGGGGTCCTCGGGACGGGCTACCCGGACCACACATTCGTCCGGGACTCTTTCCAGCAACTCAACCTGAAGACGCTGGATAAAATTGACAAACTTTGCGTTCCCTCCTACCACCACTATATTGGCCAGCAGTCCTGGCCACAGCCCCACAGGGAGGACCGAAAGTGACTGCATAACCAGATCCGCCAGTCCAGGCTGCCGAAGCCCAATGTCGGTCGGATTGAACAGCAGCTCGGGCACAGAGAAGCGTTCATTTCGAAGAGTCAAGATATCCTCGGTGGAGACGGCGCTCTTCCTTGCCCGAGCGGCAGCACCTGGCTCGTGGTCTCGAACAATACCGTGAAATCGCGTGTGGGAGTCAGGGAGTACATAATCTTTTGCGATACCCCCACCGGTGGCGTAGTCCTTTCGTCGTTCTCCTCGCGTGCCCTTCCACGTCTTGTCAAGGTCTCCCTTGAAGTCCAGAGAAACATAGCAGGCGGCCTCCTTCATCTCGTTCACAATGTATGTCTCGTTACGCATATCGAAGTGGCGCACAGAGAGTAGGCGGGTAAGGTGGTTGGTCAGCAGTTTGCCGCCTACATCGAGTCTCCGAATGGCGGTGTGTAGCGGCCTTCCTTGCAAGATGGGCGTCACGGTTGTGTGGGAGTATCCTGAATCTATCAACAAAATAACTTCGGCGGGTACATCAATGATAGTATCGGGGGTCCTTGGGGTGTGGAATATGGCCTGTATGTCTTGGTAGGCGTTGAACGAGGGGCCTGGTGACCAGACACTGTCAGCATCTGCGCAGAAAAAGAAGGGCCCAAGAGGACAAGGCAAAACACACCGATGCCCCGATAATAACTGGAGAATCCATACTCTTCAAATACAATCTGGTCACAATGTGTCTGAAGAGCTGGTAGCGAGTTTGGCTGCTCAGCGAGCACCAAGCGGGTTGTCGAGGGATCGCATCTTTGGGGGGCTTTGTCGTCAAAGAAGGCGCGGTCCCAGATTTCCTTCTGAGCTTCCCAGTTGACGATAAATCCTTTCTCTACTGGCCTCCGGAAGGTAATCTCGCCAAAATCCTTGCACTTTTCCAGCTCGGCGCCGACATAGGTCTTGTTGTGGCGGTCGCGGGCGATGCAATTAGGGATGACGCGGGGCGCCTTATCGCCCGTGTCGTCGTCGACGGTGACAAAGCCTGCCTTGATGGTGTCAGCCCCATTATCGAGAACTAGGGTTGACGACGGCGGCGCCGGGCCAGCGGACTTTGGTTTTCGTCCTGGTGCCATCGCATCTTGTATGCAGTGGGAAAGCTGACGTTCTCAGCCAGAAAGGTTCCTACCGACCCGTCAAGAGCAGCTGCCGGCCCGGCTCGGTCCGACGATGCCAAGACTGATGGACACTCAATCGTCTTTACACAAACCGCAACAATAGGGACTGGCAGGCTCTATCTATTATACATTTGATAGCAAGGATGCGCTGGGCACAATTTTAGCCGATGGGTCACAGGCACTCAAGTCGAAGACTTTCTCCAATCTTTCCAACCTTCAAAAGCTCAGCTTCCTTGTTCAGAGCATCAATTTCGGCCTGCACAAACGGGATGCCTTCAGCGAGCCTCTTCTTCTCCGTCAATAGCTCAATCTCGCCCGGAAAATATATCCTTTCCACGCCCTCCATTTTCTTTGAACTCACCACTCGATGATACAACGTTGTCATCCGGCCTTTAAACTCATCCATGCTCATGAACAAGTCCGGCTTGATGGCGACAAGAAAATGTCCGACATCACCGGGCTGAGACATGTCATAAGGTCCAGTGACACCGCCGGCAAATGCTGAACCAGAAAGAACACCTGAAAAGACATCCATCATGATGGCCAACCCAGACCCTTTCGGTCCACCCATGGGCAACATCACACCTCCATCGAGTGCCTTATCCGGGTCATTCGTTGGTCTCCCTTCAGCATCCAAGGCCCAGTCCCCCGGTATCTTCTCCCCTCTTCTCTTCGCCTTGTGAATCTTTCCTCTCGCCGCAACCGAGGGCGCCATATCTAATATGAATGGTATCGACCCTTCACCGCCCGGCGCACCACAGGCAATAGGCGAGACCCCCAGCAGCTTCTCCTTCCCACCCCATGCCGGAAGAGCAGGAGATGAGTTGGTGAAAACCAAGCTCATCATCCCGGCGTCAACAGCTTGCTGCACGATCCAAGCCGACATGCCAAAGTGGTTGCTGTGCTTGACGCTGGCCATTCCAATGCCGAGCGTCTTGGCCATCTCGATGGCTGTCTTCATCGCCAAGTGGGCTGCGGGGAAGCCGAAGCCATTATGACCATCTACCTGAGCCACAACCGGAGTAATTTGAGTGAGAGTGGGCTCTGCTTTGGGATCAAGGACTCCATTGCGAATGCGGGCGAGATAAGATGGCAGACGGTTGATACCGTGGCTTTCGACGCCACGCAGGTCGGCTTGGACTAGACCCAGGGCGACGGTTTCGGCATTTTGGAGGGATACTCCAGAGGCTACGAGGAGCGAGACGACAAATAGCCGGGCATCTCTGTGGTTGACATGGACGTATTCTGGTAGTCCTCCCATTGTGACTGATGACATGGGCAAGGGTGATGGATACTCGGCGGGTGTTAGAAAGGGGGCCGGTCTCTTGACATATGTTGCCATTGGGTCGAAGAAGCCAACGGGGAAACGGTGGCACACGGGCCCCGCTTCACTAAGACGGTAGGTTATAGGCCCGGAGAATAATGTGGGGATGGGTCAAGTTCCTTGCTGGAGATCCGGGGTACCAGTAGCCACCAAATGCTTCTTTCAACGTCCAAATCAACCTGAGACCATCATTCCCTAGCAGCGGTTATCTTATATCAAGTATACCTCTCGGAGCCGTTCGATTGTCTGTAAGTGCCGTGCTGGAAAAAAAAACCCACAACTGTCTATCTCAGCACCATTGACAAGGCGGCCAACTTGCAACTCGCCGAACCACAGACAACCTACCGTAGCGAAGGATCTCAGCAAAGTCCAGAATTACCTACCCATGGAACTCCCAGTGTGGTTCCCTCGTTATGAATAGCCGAGACAAGGCCGGGCTCCGGACTTGCTGGCCAGTCACAAAATTTCTCGGTTTTGCAGCACCTGCCTGAATGGGATTCACATGTAACACACAACAAGTACAACGTTCACCTTTGCACTCGCAATGAGACCGACAAAGTTACATCAACGAGATCGACGAGCAGCAGACGTTCAACTGCCGGACCATGGTTCAGTGACGCCATGGGGCCACGCCGTCGGATAGGGCAGATCGACGCCCCTTCTGTCTACCTAGCATGTCACCGTATCACCATCTCTGCGTGTTCCCAAGAGACACCCTACCTCATATGGACTACTTAGGTAGGTGTGATCCTCCCAGACGAGTTTCCTTTTTCATCTGGATTACCTGCGTTCTGCTTTTTTTCATTTTCTGCTCCTTCGTATTTTGTCTTGCCGTGTCAGCACAGAATGGCGGGGGGCGTGAAGAAGCCTGTGAACATCTTCCGGCTCCAGGATTTGGGCGAACCAAAAGAAGTCTTCAATTGGAGATTATGGTTTGCCGTGTTCTCTTTCGGCCTTTTGGGCGCAGCACGAGGCGTTGACGAGGGCTTGATCAGCGGCGCCTTCAACAGCAAGCACTTCCAGGGCACCATCAATTACAGCTCCTATACCGAGGTTGAGCAAGCCAACATCAAAGCCAATGTGTCCTCCATGGTTCAACTAGGGAGTGTTGGGGGTGCTCTGATGTAGGTCGAGGTTCCATCTGCCAACTACCCTGCACGTCGCTGGTCACGCGTTTGTCATGCTGACTTGAGCTTCAGCGCCTTCCTTATCTGTGACAGGATCGGACGCATCTGGGCTACACGGCAGCTCTGTCTGCTGTGGATGTTGGGCATTGTCATCTTCATGGGAACCAAAGGCAATCTGAGCGCCATATATGCTGGTCGGTTTATCGTCGGACTTGGCGTTGGACAAACACCTGTTGTTGGTCCTGTCTACATTGCGGAAATTGCCCCGGCCAGTGTCAGGGGGTTGTGTACATGTATCTTCACCGGTTTTGTGTACTTGGGCATCGTCTTGGCATACTTTACGAATTACGGCTGTCAAGTCAACCTGGGTGATACAACGGCGGCTCGTTGGGAAGTGCCGACAAGTTTGCATCTCATCTTTGCAGTCTTGATATTTACTTTAAGCCTCTTTCAGTACGAGTCTCCGCGCTACCTGCTCAAACAAGGTCAACATAAGATGGCCATTCATGTCATGGCTTGTCTTCGAAACCTGTCCCCAGAACATGACTATGTAACTCAGGAGATCAGCGCCATCACGTCAAGCCATTTGGAAGAGATGGAGGCAACTGTGGGATCTGGATGGATGGGAATCTTGAAGGAGGCATTCACTGTCCCAACGAACCTCTACCGCGTATGCCTCACCATCTGCGCACAGATACTGTCACAATGGCCTGGTGCTGGTTCTATCACACTCTACGCCCCAGACCTGTTCAACATTCTTGGGATAACTGGAACAGACAGGACGCTTCGGGTGACAGCCGTGTTTGGCATCGTTAAGCTCACTGCCGCCGTGGTATGCACCCTCTTCCTCGTCGACTTCATCGGCCGAAAGCGCTCGCTGCTTATTGGCATCACCTTGCAGGCTGTGTCGATGATCTACGTTGCCGTTTTCCTCACTGCAGTCCCCGAGTTGGGCATACAAGAGGGCTATCTCCTCAGCCCCTCGCAGTCAGGACTTTCCAAGGGTGCGATTGCTATGATCTACATTTCAGGCTTCGGTTGGGCGTTGGGATGGAACAGCATGCAATATCTACTCACGGCGGAGCTTTTCCCCTTGAGAATCCGGGCTTTTTGCACCTCACTCGCCATGTCGTTTCATTTTGCCAACCAATACGGGAATACACGGGCTGTGCCAAACATGCTTCTCCAGTTGGAACTGGGAGGCATCTCACCAAAGGGGACATTTTGGTCCTTTGCCATCGTTACCATTCTTGGTGCGGTATGGGTGTTTTGCATGGTGCCGGAGACGGCAGGTCAAAGCTTGGAGAGCATGGACTCGCTATTCTCACTGCCTTGGTACAAAATTGGGAGGTATGGAAACCGGAATGCTGATTTGGGTGACTTGGAACCGCCTCAGGTTGGCGAAGAAAATGTCATTACCGGAAAGGCCATGACGGATGAGGTCGAGAAGAAATGATTAATCGATGACCTATCTTTTTTCTCTTTGATTATTTTGATTGGTATTTCTGGTTTTGTTGGCATTATCATACACTTCCGAGATCACGGATGTGCCGAGATCGGAATATAGTAGTCCCTGATACTCTGAAAGCGATGGCCGCCAAAAAGGATATCTTGATCGGATCTCATGGGACGGCAGTTCCAAAACTTAACGAGCTCTCAACACCATCTTCTGACCGAATTAGAGTCTCGCCAAAGACTGCCCATTTCGATACTTCACACCATACTGCTGACTACCAAGACCACCTGAACATGGCAAGAGAGGGCAGTATTCAACATTGTCAGCCAACAAAGCCCCCAAGGAATATGCAGGTTTCAGACACACTGGATACGGTCCGTAAACTCGCATAGGCGCCCAGCTCTTCCACTCACTCTGCCTCATGACAATCTCGTGTGGTGTCTTACTGAATCAAAGGGTCCTCGCCGTGTCGTCTGACGAAGCTGGCTGAACGAAGCCAAAGCGAGGGGAGCCGGACAGTCAGTGAACAGACGAAGGAAGTGGTTGATGGTGGGGCGGCACGTACTGCACGGTCGATAATACAACAGGAGCATGACCAATGGCAACTGAAAGGATGGATGACGAATCAGCGTCCCGTTCAACGCTTTGAACCGTTTCCCCCAACTGACTGTCTTTTCGAGATACCAAGATTCTTCAGCCATTTTCCTGATTATCAAGACTGAGCCCGGAGCTTCCCGTGACTCTCTTGGCCCTGCACGCATCCACGCTGGCCTCTTGTAGAAGTCCCCGAGAAGCGATACGGGAAGATTGACGAGGTTTTGCAACACCTGATTGGTTCGCTCTGGTTCATCCCATCTTTGAATTGTGCGGTTACATCACGGCTATCACCTCGACTTCCATACATGTATGTACTCTCAGCGCTTGCTCATGACCCACCCGCACCCCCCTCTACCTCTCAGCCCTTCAAGCCACGGCGCATACAATAAAACGGCTCTTGGAATCGAGACAGTGGAGGGCTCGCGGAAATGTTCGGTCCAGCGATCATGGTGTGTTCACCGACGTCAATCGAGTGCCCTTCGCCCCGGCGAATGGAGAATGGAGAATGTGACGACTGGGGAGGTTAAGGCTGAGTCTGGTCTATGGTACGGTACTTGTATCCGACCTGGGCATTGAATACGATTGCAACCCCCCCTTGAAAACTAACATGCATCCCTGCCTGCAACGTGCTGACGGTCTGGGTAGTATCCAACCCTGCGGTTGCCTAATAGCGAACATGCATTCGGCATGGCCGGCACTGTCTCTTCCCGGCCAGAGTGCCAGCTTTTGCTCGCGGAAGGTGTCAAGATTGACAAGATGTCACTTGGAGATGGTGGAGCTGAGAAGGGAAGTAGCGAGGACGGGGACCTTGCAGCCATGCAGCTGGGCAAGGCAGATCAGCCAATCTATTGTCTCTCCGATACCACCAAGAAATCTCGAGCGAATTTCCAACGGGCTCGCTGCAGACTGCAGACGCCTCGCATCACGCATCACGCGCTTTCAACTTATTCAACCTTCCACTTCCTCCTCAACCTCCTCCCCCATCATCGCTGGCTGCATGCGCAGGAAGATCACCCGTCTGGATCGAGTGCCCTCGACTCACCGAATCACAGGCCTCACACTCCGACCCCGCACAGCACTTGGCCATGCCAGAACGTGGCCACCACCACGCACACTCCCAATAGTTCGCGGGAGAAACTGGGGGCTAATACTACTCTGGCATCGTCAGCCGCCCTGCTACACCCCACGCTGTGGACTCTACATCCGACACTACCTCGACGCTACCTAGGGTAGTCAGTCCCAAGACACCCTACCTCCCCAAGCCTCCGAACGCCTCCCAAGCCTACCAAGGCCTGTCTACCTCCCTATTACGTCCGATACTGGACTACTACCGACATCACGTCACATTTAGCTACCTCTGCCACGCAGTAGTGTCGGATTACGCTTTGCTGAGAAAGGAAAATTTGCGTCAAAATGCGTCAAGAAGGCCTGGATGCCCAGCTCACGGCCTTTGCGCCACACGAGAACCGTTCCTCTTTCTTGTTCCCATGTGTCATTGAGTGCCTCTTTGATATCCACATCACATCGCCCTGTCTGACAGGAACGGTTGCGGCACAGAGCAGGCTTGGACCTTGGCAGTCTTTCTGCACCGCACCGCCCCTCCCCCCCTACCGTCAACACCGTCGATACCCTTCAACTCGTCCGAAAACCTGGAATCCGCACCGGTCTGGGGGCAGGGGTAGGGGTGCTGAAGGAAGAAGCCCAGTTTTGAAGGAGTGAAGGAAGGATTCTGGATGTGGTGCAAGGGTAAGCTGGATGGAACCTTCTTTCGAAGCCTCCGGCTGGTTCGGTTCGTACTGAGCGTTGCGTGCCGCAGACGTTGCCATTCCGAGACAGTCCGTGTTGATTTTCTCACTGCCGTTGCCGTTATTTTCCATACCCATAGGTTGTGTTTTGCGAGATGGGAAGCTGAGAGGCCGTCCGGAAGTGTTGAGGTTGGCGTCCTCCCAGATACAACAAGTAGCAGCTAGTCGCAGCAATGTATGTTTCACACCATTCCTGGCCTAGAACCTCGCCCCTGACTGCAGCTCGCTTCCTCTTCACCCGCGCTAACCTTGTGATCGACCAGCTCCTCGGGGCACACTTCGTCTTTGGCCGAGGAAACCCAGTCATCAATGTGCCTCTCTCCCCTGGAGCCAATGTGGGGAAACACAACAGGCATGATTCCATGTTCCTGGAGTGATGCCGAGAGCAATACATCTGGAAAAGGAAAGGCTAGCCCGGAATATCGACTACATCCCATGCAAGTCTAAGGCCAAACTTGGCCCCGGCATGCTTGAAGGTGTGGTAGGTGGAGGTGCCTATGACTCTGACTTGACTTCAGATGAACTGATCTCGCTCCGCCAAACCATTCACTTTCTCTTGAGGAACCCCACTGGATGTCGGCGCAGAGCAGACGAGGGAAGAACCCGTCCGCGGTCTTCGTGTTCCTTCAAAACCCTTCCCCCGAAAGCAAGAGGATATAATAACCTCCCCCCAAGCCACCCAATCCTTCCGCCCAATATGAAGTTTTGATAAGGCCACAAACCTCAAACTTTCACCCGAACTGCATCCAACTACCACCTCGCCTATCTCCTGGCGTTGCTCGGCTCTATACTTTGCACTCTATTTTATATTGCTCGACCTCTCTTTTCCACTTGCCCAACCCCCTCTATCGTCGCCATGAGGTGGTTTCAGTTGCTTCTCCTCGGCTTGGCCCTTCTCCTTGAAAATGCCACCGCCCTCAAGTACGAGGTAACGGGTACCCGAAAGGGTGTACCCATCCCCAAGGAGCAGATCAAGTTCGCACCCTACCAGTTTGGTCGTAGCAAGAACAACGGTCCGGGTGCTGTCCAGCCTGCCCCTACCAAGATCAAGAAGAAGAGAGCCAACCCCATCTCGAGCAGCGCCAACTGGTGCGGTGCCGTAAACCACTCGCCGACCACCAACAAGATCAAGAGCATCCATTCCTTCTGGCAGGTTCCGGGCTGTACCAAAAGAACGGGCCAAACCTATCCCCAAGCCGCTGCTGTCTGGATCGGCATTGACGGCAACACATGGCCCTCGGCCCTGCTGCAGTCGGGCACTGTCTGTAAGATTGACACTTCCACTTCCGCCACAAGGTGAGTTTACTCTTTGAAATCGTAGACTGAATGGATCGAGTATCAGCTTGCTAATTCACTGTTCCAGACACGAAGCTTGGTGGCAATGGGTTCCTGACACTGCATTTACCATCTCGACCATGCCCCGTAAGTCTTGCTCTGCCCTGCCTGCCCTTATCACCTGAGATGTGAACTCCTTTTGCTAACGTGACGTGTTTGCTCTCCACCTATAGTCGCCGTAGGAGACTGGATCGAAGTCACAATCAATACAACATCTGACACCGCAGCCACCATGTGAGCCTTTTTCCTTCCTTCATTCCTTCCACATGATCAAAACCAACACCTCTTCCCTAGCAAATTCGACAACGTCAGCCAGGACGAACAAGTCATCGTCAACGTGACTTCGGGCCCGACCCTTGCCCGCAAGGACGCAGACTGGGTCGTGGAGAGGCCCTACTATGGATCGAGCCTCGCCGGCTTTCCCAGGTTCGACACGACTTGGTTTGAGGACTCATATGCCACACGCACGACGGGCGGCAACCTTGGGATTCTGGGCGCGACGCAGTACCAGATTCCGAGTTTGTGCAATTCGACAGAGTATGACAATGCCAATTCGGTTTCTTTCTCGCTTTAAGGGTTTTTCCTTTCTTTTCTCCTTTTGAAGGGGATGCTGGGGGGTTAATGGGATTAAGGGGGTTTTGTTTTCCTTTTTCGATCGACATATCTTTGTTTTTTGTTTTGGAAGTCATGGAATTGATTACCTACTGGGTTTTTGGAAATGGTTAGGGCGGCAGGTGGTGGGTTAAGGGCTTATTTAAGATACCTTTCTTTCCTTTTCTTTTTATATCTGGCTAGTATAATTCTGGCAGCTCAAGTTTGGGTTGTTTTGAAATCTTTTAGGATCTTGGGAGGGGACTTGGTTGCATCTTTTGTCTTGTCCTGTCAGGGATACTGATTTTGGGAGTTGGATATCAGCCTTGTGGTGTTGTGAAGTGTAACGATAATAGGGGTCTCATATTAGGTTTCTGTTATTGTTTTGTCTTGGTCACTATACATGCAGGGGGTGGCTTTATATGATGTACCTTTCAGCTTGTCATTGGGCAGATGTGTTTATGCAAGTGTGGCTTGTCAGGTGATGCAACCGGAATGATGAGAGACGTCATACAGGTCATTCATTGAATGGAAAAGAGCAAGTTTTTTCTTTTATCTCTGAGCAATGATGACCCTCTCTGTCAATTTTCATCTGTTGTCTGCATAGGGGTTCATATCTAGCAGATGTGAGACATCTTTTGATGGGAGATGGCCAGTGCACGAAAGTCAGGGGTAAATATCATCGCATCACGTAGATGGTCAAGCTCTGGATAAAATGATTGGTTCTACAAGTCAGTAAGATGGATGATCATTATCAATTTGTACCTTGATAAAAAGAAAATAGGGATCCTACATTTTTTAGATCTATTGGCTATCTTTTGAGGTATAATCACTTTTGCAGTGCCAGTTATTTTGTCCACGCCGTGATGGTTTTCTCTCAAGATGACCTTCTATCAGAAAATTGCCATTGGGGTCTCCTAGACACTCCTGAAAATATTTCTCTGTGACAGAGTATTCTTATCTTAGACTCGTCCAGGTTTCACAAGAGTGCCGCGATGAAGTGCAGCTGGCATAGGGATTCATCAGGTCAAAGCACACGGAGATCAAGCAATGCCAGTGAACATCACAAATTGTAATAGCAAACTTCTCATGTGGTGCTATCGGCAATTTTGGCACGGTGGCATGAAGAGTCACAAAGTGATTCCTTTGGGGTCACGCTGGTAGGGTATCATTTGATCATCAATCATACAGAGCTGAGATAAATACAGTTGAAAGTCGTCAAGCGACCTGCTTTCCCTTGTGTTATCTTGTGGCCTCCAAATACAAGTACCGATTGTACCAAGGAACCATATCGTTTCAGACAATGATATGGAAAAGAAAGGGAAGAGCGGAGTTGTGGGACCGGGAACGCCAGTTAGGTCCGAGCAAAAGAGGAATCTAATCTGATGACCGGGCTGTTGTTAGGTATGGACCCGAGAGGGGAGTGTTTCCAATACTAGAAGGTTCAAAACATCTGGGCGTAGAATAGAAGCCCAAGAAAGCTCGCAAACTCTCAGTAGAGCTCCCGGAATTGTCTGCTTCGTCCTACACACCCTACAACATTGGTAGTTTAGTAAAGTTACTCCAACAGGTCAAGATGACAGCGATGTGTTCTAGACACTAAAGAAAGGCTTACAATCACACTGGAAGAAATAGTTAATTATTTGGTCTCAGTCATGGGGGGCCGGAATGGAACTTACAGAAGTCATATCAGATCCTTCATTGTGGATGAGGCAGTATCCACCACCGCATCTTGTGCACATCCGCTGTGTGCTTTCAATGCAGTCTTTGCACTAGCTGGGTGTCAGTTGAAGAACCTCTGGAAATAGGCCTTGCATCAAAGGTCAGCCTACGTTCATGCCGCATTCCCAACAACTCTTCAGGACCGGGGGCTGTTAAAAAACAGTCAGTAACTGCAAATCAGGGTGCGTTTCTGCGTGCATCACTGGTCAAGACAACACAACAATAACAACAACAACAACAACAACAACAACAACAACGAGGACAACAAAAGCGCAAAGCCCAAAGGGACATGGACCTTTTTGTACCACGTCACCGCATACCCATGGGATCTTTGGATGGCAGGGCTCGCTCCGCGCATCTGGGTCCAGCTAGAATGCTCGACAGCCAGCTCTCTGGCTTTATGCAGGTTGCTCGCTGCCGGCAGTCACAGAACCGGTCGAGAAACGGTAGAGCGAGCACTTTCCATCGGCGCAAAACCCGTCCAGTATCTTGGGCCCCGAGTCTCTGTTGTCGTTCTCTCCGGTAATGGTGGGGGGTTGCTTACATGGTCCCCTGAATTCAATCCAGCATGGCCACCGGATGATCCTGCAAACGCCCCGACATAGCACGTCTCGCACCACCATTTGTTGCACCCGGCGCAGTACCTGTCTCTAATGCAGTCAAAACAGCGTGGGATGAAGCGCGCCTTGTTCTGGTTTCCCTTTCTCAGGTAAGAAAGTCGGTGCCGGACCGCCTGGCCAGTCGGACACATTGCAGCGCTCAGGGTCGAAGAATGCATCGGAGGCGGGGGCAGCAGCGGGAACCTCCCAATGTCGGCCATGGAAGTATGACTAGACCTTCTTCCCTCAGTATTTCTTTCTTCTGGATAGATGTCTTCTCCCCACACTGTAAAACCTTCGGGTGCAGAGCCACATCCCTCACAGCCACCGAGACTGTGAGTGGCCACGTTGAAGTGAGGGATCAATGCAGATGCTGGGGAGCCCGCGGCTTTCAGAACATCGAGGTTAACCTTGCCCCATGCCAGCGAGTTGATATGCCTGGGGCTGGTGCAAAGAACTGAATCAAATGCAACTATGCCATCACAGGCCACAAGCGTAGAGGCCCAGTCGGGGTTGATCCGACACGGAAACTGGCTGCCACGGCGAAAATACCACGCCTCAGGTTCCTCAATGAGAGAAGCCGTCAGTGTTTGTTGGCTTCGCGTGTTCCAGGCTGCTGCTACCGCGGCCGGACTGGTAGGTGAAGGGCTCCGGGAGCTCTCCTGAGGAGGAGCCGCCTCAGGTACCGGATCCTTCGGACCAAACACATAGAGACCCTTGAGCCGCGGTGTGCCCTCAGGTCTGGACTCCCGGCACGCATATTGCAGTGTCTTTTGGAGCTTTCGTTCATTCAGATTCTTGACATCGCGGATCGATAGAATGCGAACTGAAAATGCCGGATCAATGAGGATGTCGTGGATGAGCTCGGCAGTGACAGAAAGACCATCAAGGGTCAAAACCTGCACATCCCGAAGGATGTCATGCCGTCGGAGGTTGGAGAAGATGCCTCTCAGAGGCCTCGAATAGAAACTGGCAGGGGAACATGAGGTCAGCCTCCCGTCGGACCATGCACGGAGATAACAGACTCACTCGTCCTCAGTCAAGATTTCGTCAAGCTGAACATTGCGCCAGGTCTCGCCACCCCGGTCAACGGCATCACTGTCAAACTGGGCTGTCTTGACGTTGCCCAAATTCAGGCGGCGGAAGACTTGCGGGGTATGGTAGATCAGGAAACGAAATGCGCGCGAAGTGGCAGCCAGATTCAAGACATCGTAGCAGGACAGGTACGGAGCTGTTTGGGAAAGGACTAGGGAATTGGCAAGCAGTTGAAGTAGTGCGGTTTCTTGAATCTCTGAAGGTAGAACTTGGTCTCTGGCCATCGTAGGCTTGAAAGCTTGTCGTCGAGTTGGTTTGGTAAGAAGGATAGGAAGGTTTACGAGGATGGAGCTAGGGGGAAGGAATCAAGTAAGCAAAGCGCGGGGTCAGCCTGTAGATAATTATATAGCTGACGACTTGACAGGATGGGACGATTAAGTCCGGAAGTCCGGATCGCACAAGCGAAGCTGTCAAGGCGGTCGCAAATCAGGAAGTCGAGAGGAGGTCGGTCGATCATCGAAGCCAAGGTGCAAGGGTGCTCAAGCAAAGGTGCAAGGGTCCATGGCAGGAGGGCTGGGCGGTTCGAGCGTCAAACACCCATGTCGATATTAACCTTAATCGTGGAATGTAATTGTTCAACATCAAACGATCTGCGCCAGATTGCGCCCAAGATCTTGGTTGGCCCTCCAGGTTCTCAAGACACGTTAAAGGGCATCCATCATCTGCCAACTGGCAGAATGGCCATCCCAAGATCAAACCCCTATCCTCTTACCTCTTACCAGACGTGGAGCTGGCCGAGACACTGTTTGAACGGGCCGAAGAGGTTGTTGCAGAAAGTCGCAGAGGGTCGCATGGATGCGAGTGATTAGCCGGCTTTAGCGTTGGGGTTCACGGGGGTTCTGGGGACCTTGAACAAAATCCCCCCAACACACAGCGGGGTGTCCCCCCTCACGCTGACCACATTCTTTGCCCAAACAGAGTGATTTCCCCTCCTCGTCCCACGCCCAGTCTCGCCCGTCTGGAGAACGACGTCGGGTCGCACTGCCTTAGCTCGCTGTGGCCTCGCTGTGGCAAGCGGCACGAATCGTTGGTTTGTGGAGGGGAAACAAGAGGTCAACTGAGCAGGGCAGCAACGAAACACCATCCAGCTGTGGGACACGTGTATACCTGTTGAGGTGTTGAGCTGTCCTCTCTATTCCTTATCTTATCGCAGCTCCAAGTTCCAGCTTGTCATCTCACGGAGATCTGGCCAAGTGCTCCATGCAGCAAATCCGGTGGATCTGCCATTCATTGGGCCATTCGGCATCTCCAAAAGAGGCCTGGTGCTGTTCTCGACCACGGGTGTTTCCCCACAATCCTTCTTCGAGGTGGGGTTGGCTGAACAGGGGCCAAAGGCAACTCGAACCGCAGACAGCGCGTTTAGGAAAGTTGTTCACGGAGCTGACGGCTCCCGAGAGAGAGCTGAGTTGGCACCAGGGGCTTCAGGACTTCTTCCACGCTGTCCAAATGTGGTGATAAGGTCGGAATACCACCCGTAAGTTCCGCCGTAGCTTCATGTTATGGAAACCTCAGGCATAAACATGGTACCCCACGCGCTGGGTCTCGCTGGGGGCCCGGGCCGTTTTAGTGGGGGGGCATTGCCGGCAGGCATCAGCTATCAGCTAGCTGATGACGATGCCCGGTGATGGAATCTGCAAGAAACCGCTGACTGATTGTCGAAGGCTTTTTTGTGAGGTGATACCATCAACGTCAACAGCTTTTCCGCCATTGAAACACGTTCGTTTCCCTTTTTTGTTTCACGATATACCGTACACAATATCAAACCCAACCGCCATTCTCGATTTCTTTGGCGCTTTCCGGTCCATCGCGCTCCCAACATGACATCCAAGCCAGAGCAGCTGAATTGGTCGGCATCTCTACGCATCGCTCATCCATCCCCATCCGCCTCCAAGGGTTTGCAGGGCGATAAGATCCTGCTTCCGCAGTCGGCTCTTGAACAGCTTCTGGCAAGAGCCCCTTCGACCTTCACATCGTCGACGTCGCACACTTTTACTGCCTTCGATCCTTTCAGCCCCTATGCCGTATCCGATGCCAGACGAGAACGTGCGCAGTATCGCGAGACTAGCCAGCAATTACCTCACCCGTTGATGTTTCAACTGGTGAACCAGAAGAATGGAAATTCTGTTTACGCTGGTATCCGAGAGTTTTCGGCAAACGAAGACGAGGTCGCCCTCAGCCCCTACCTGATCGACGCACTTGGAATACAGCACGAAGACATACAGCAAGAGCCAACGTTCGAAGATGAAGTGGTGGACCTTACGGACGATGAACCCACCAAGACAGAAGAGCTGAGAATAACTGTCAAAGCTAGGCAGCTCCCGAAAGGCACATACGTTAGGCTACGACCGCTTGAGGCTGGTTACAATCCTGATGACTGGAAATCCCTCCTTGAAAGACAGCTCCGCGCAAACTTTACCACACTCACGAAGGACTCAATTCTGTCGGTTCATGGAGTGAAGGGAGAGGAGTTTCGGTTCCTGGTCGACAAGTTCTTGCCGGAAGGAAGTGGAATCTGTGTTGTGGACACCGATTTGGAAGTTGACATTGAACCCCTAAACGAAGAACAGGCTCGCGAAACCTTGCGTCAAATCGCTGCCCAGTCACAACGTGCGCCAGGAACGGATCCTGGTACTTCAATTGGTCACACGATAGACATTTGGAAACAGGTTGATGGTCAGGTTCTAGACGGAGACTATGCCGATTACGACTTACCATCCTGGGACAAATCTCGCCCAGTCGCCATCGAGTTGACAATACATGGCGACCACGAGGTCGATCTTTTTGTTAGCCCCAAGTCTAACCGTCAACGAGCATTACCCAGGGACACAGAGCACGTCTTTGGCGACTTCTCTTCGCCGAAAGATGGCCTGAAGCGCATCGTCATTCAGCCTACCAATCCCGAGCTTGAGGGGGCAGAAGCTTTACTTGTTTCCGTTCACGGGTTCTGCCTTCCAGACAAGGATGCGGTGGGATCAGTCCCAGCAAAATACACTCTACGCGCAAAAGCTGTTGACGCACAAGGCTCTGTGACAGCTCCCATCGACCTGAGCAGCTCAGCACCCAAGTCCACAACGGAAGAACAGTGCAGAAACTGCCATCAGATGGTACCCAAGCAAACAATTGTGCTCCATGAGAACTTCTGCTTGAGAAACAACATTGTCTGCCCTCAGTGCAAGAGCGTGTTCCAGAAGAAGTCGGCCGAATGGGAAGCTCACTGGCATTGCCCCGTGCATCCAGAGGCCTATGGCTCAAGCATGTTGAGCAGGTCGAAACATGACTACGTCCAGCACACTGCGCATACATGCACTGCCTGCGGCCCATCGTCTCCCTTCACCTTCCCCTCGTTACCAGAGCTGGCCCGCCATGCCACCACTAACTGCCCCCACAAACTTATACTCTGTCAGTTTTGCCACCTCGAGGTTCCTCAAGAGGGCGATCCGCTCGATCCGTCTTCAGAAGCGGAGACAGTACTGTCGGGTTTGACAGCTCACGAGAGAGCTGATGGCGGGCGCACAACCGACTGCCATCTTTGTGGCTCCATCGTCCGTCTCCGAGACATGGCTGCCCATGTGGCTCATCACGAACTTGACAAGGCCCGGAAGCCAAAGCCAGAGTTGTGCAGGGGTGAGCTTTGTGGTCGCACACTCCACGGCATTGGACCTCGAGGCCAAGTCAATGGTGGGACTCAGATGGGTCAAGGGCCTGGAAACAGTCTGGGGCTTTGCAGTCTGTGCTTTGCGCCACTCTATGTCAACATGCACGACCCAGAAGGAAAAGCGTTACGCCGCCGGATTGAGAGACGCTACCTCGCCCAGCTCACGGTAGGTTGCGGAAAGAAATGGTGCCAGAACGAGTGGTGCAAAACAGGCCGGGCAAACCGTGGGCTGGAAGCACTGGGCACCAGTGTTTCGACTGCGCTACCGTTGGTGAAACCGCTTCTCGAGGCGATCACTGACCACAGTCAACGCATGCACTTTTGTGTAGATGAGGCATCGCAACGTCGGAAGAAAACGGCCGAGATGCTTGCTGCTGAGGGCGTATGGGATCTCGAATGGTGCACAGCTGCCATGGAGGCAGAGGGTGGGAATCTAAGCAAGGCACGGGGTTGGCTAGCAGACTGGGCGCCAACAAAGGTTCATAAATAATGGTATATTGACCAGAAGACATACAGGATTTAATAGCATTTCGATGGGGGCAATCGGTATACAGGAATGACGAACGGATGATACCCAAATACATAGAGCTTGGTTCACAGCAATGAGACCACATTGCAGGAGTTGGAGGAAATAATACAAGATCAAGTACTCTTCATTCTCGGCCTTTTCCCTCCTTCGATCCCTGGTTGATATTACTACTTCTTTATCGAAACCTCGTTCTAGCAATTGGCCGGGTGATCAACAGTTCCATCTTCCTCATCAAGCACTGCTGAGGGCTTGTGGAGCTTAGTGGGACTGGAGCAAGCATTATGTCAGCTTCCATCTTAACTTTGTGAAAGACACTGGCTTGGCTCACGCAGCAGCTGCAGCTGTCACAGGAGGTGCAGGAGCACGAGGTACAATTGCACTGGGAAGGCATGTTGTAGGAGTGTGGTTGACGGTTGTCGACTGATGGTCTCGTGTGTATCTTTGTGGTTTTGGTAAATGATAATGAGCTGGTGTGTATACCGAAAGAGGTCTGAGTTGGAAAGGATAGGATGGAGGGAAGCTGGAGGAAGTCCAGAACTTTATACACAAGCCCGTCCCCCAACTTGAGGCTGTCGGCCCCCTCTTCTCCAGACTCCCGAACCAACTTCCCGACTCATCCTCAACCGCACCGATCATGATATGCAAGACCTTCTAGCCAACCTCAGTTCCAATCAAGTGGCGTCCATGTTACGACTTTGTCCAAGACAACTAAGGGTTGTCTGCAGCTCTTTTCCTACACAGTCGCAACTCAGGAGCCAATGACTTGTGCTGCTCACATATCACATCAATATCACGGCACGACCCCATCAATCCTCAACGCGGCCAGCTCAGTGGCTGCTCCTCGCCGGTTACAACCCCAAAGCCGGGCTAGGAAGCAATCAGCATCAGAATCTGGTCCTTTAACGAGATCATGCATGCACTCCCACATATTCGGGCATTGGCAAGGAAGAAGGAATAGCTGATTCGATAGCTTGTGTTCGTCACCTGGTCATGAACGGAGCCTTATCATTCCGATATCACATATCACCAAACATCTGCCGTCGTCAAGACGAAACACTGCATGACAACAGATCCCCGGTACGGCCTTAGATAGAAGGTGAAAGCGGGGAAGCATATGCAATGCAAGTTCGAAAGGGCGTCGAGAATAGATAAACTCGGCCCTGAGGGACGCTTGCGGGAACCAATCCGCAGCCATACGATCATCCAAGATGGTGTGGCATATTTGATGGCCTGGTGTGGGTGGTCGTCTGCCTGCCTGTTCTGTGTAACACGGCTCGGTGTCCCGTTGCTTGGCTTCGTGCGTCTGGGGCGGGCACCAACCGGCAGCCGAGCCACGGGCCGTGCACTTCGGCATCTCTCTTGCCTTCCGGGTCGGGCAGAGAAAAGAGGGCTGGTTCTATCCCCTCTTCTGGCAGGTGTATCGTACCGCTGATGCCGCCGTGGGGGGAATGGGGTCATCTGATAGTTAACGCTCCATTCACGCCTCGGTCTCGCTTCCTGTCAGAAGCGGGCGTTGAGGGGCAACCGGGTAGACCGCAAGTGGCGTCAATGTTTGCCCTTCTCCCTCTTCCTCTTCTGACTCCTGACCCGCTAGACTCGAGATGGGTGGTGTCACAACGGATGCTCCAAACTCCTTGCCGGACTCCACACTGTAACCGAAACCGGGCAGTTCTTGGCATCTCCGATGCTCGACATGTGTTTGCCACCATCTTCAACCCCATGGGGGACACTGTTGTTGCACTCAGAGGTAGCAACAGCGAGAGGGCACCAGCCGCGAGCCAATACCTGAGCCAGGGTACCGCATCCACACTCATGACTGGCCACATCTCTCTGCCTTGCACAACATATCCTGAGCATGCACCGGTAAGTCTTTTTATTAGAACTGTTGGCCGCCATTTCCGCCGAATTCTTGGGCATCTCGTGTTCCTCGCTTTTGGGGTCTTAAGGTTGCCGAGGTTCACCAACAGGTCAATTTACTCAAGCGGATACGAAGGCCGCTTTCGAGAGTGTGTATAGCAACCGGTGAAGAAAAGCGTGTCACAAGCAGATAACTCAATGTGCCAATATAGTTCTTCCCCAGCTCTTTCGATGTTAACACCCGCCTCATGCCAGAGGATGCCGTCAACCGGGGAATACGGCGTCTCTTGTGAAACATTTCGAAGCTGATACATCATATTCTCCCCATAATCAGTCGCGGGCGAGGCCGATGATTTGCGGGGGCTACAGAATTGCCAGCCAAGGTGGACATTGAAGAGAATCAACTCACTGCCCTTGTCCAACAAACGTCCATTCCAGCTCTCGAACCTTTATCCCCTCCACTTGCACCGTCACAATTTCCCCTGGGACGACATCAAAGCCATTATCCCTCAGCTTAACTCCCTCTTTTTCCGAGAACACAAATCCCTTCACTGGCTTCGTTGTCCGGATCGTCACTTCGTTTTCTGCCGGGTACTCCAGGCGAAGCCCCCTCTCACTCAAGTCCAAGTACTTGATAGGGTCTGGCCAGGAACAATCGCTGCTTACTTTCTCGTTGTTGATCCAGAGTGAAACGTAGATCACGATTGGTTCCTCCTGCTTCCCTCCCCAGTTGAGTTCCGAACTCAGCGAAATGTCAGTAACCCCGTTTGGCTTAATCGATACTGTTTTTGATTCAGGGATATCAAATAAGATATCCTTTCCAGTAGCAACTGATATGAACCTGGTCCTCACTGTTGCCTCTATATTTTCCTTGTTCGGGTGAGTAGTTCCATCAGACGACACCCACACATCATACACCACTTTTTTGGTCGACAAGGTCGGATCAACATGACCAGTGTGTCTCTTCCACAAATTATCCGCTGGTCTCATTGTCCAATCCCAAAATGCCCTGCTCACTCCCACTGCAATAGGAGCCAACGCGCGCTTCATGGCGTACCAAGCTGGCTTTTTGATACCATAGTAATCCACCACGGCCCATGAAATTGTTGGCCAGCAATCATTCAACTGCCAAACAAGAACCCCTCCGCAATTTCTCCCCTTGCCTCCTTGTGTCTGCCAAGCTCTTCTCCAGGACTTGTACGCCGTAGCCATGGAGTCGGCTTGCAAGATTTGCGTGAGGTGGATAAACCCCTTGATATCATAAACGAGCCGATAGTTCTCGCCAAGATACGCCATAAGTCTCCTTTCGTAACCGATGGCCTTGTTGTGAAAGTCTAGCGTCTTGCTCCCTGGATAGAGTTCCTTGGGATCGGTAACGAATCTCTGCACCGTCTCAAAGTGAGGATAGGCCTCCATCCCAAACTCACTGACAAACCTCCCGCCCATTTCGGGTAGGCACTGAAATGGTTTTGCCTCGCCGTGCCAAAAGTTCCACTGGTGTATGTCTCCCACGGTAGGATCTACTTCCAAAGTGGTTGAAGCACCAGTTCCAAAGGGACTGCATGGGTGGTACAGAAGAGTGTTTGGACAGGGTGACTCCTCCCTGACGATCCGGGGTAAGAGCTCTTCGTAAATGTATCTTGCCGGGAATGAGCTCTTCAACCAGGATTCTGGGTCGTTGTCTGAACGATTGTTGTCGAGCTGGTATCGCTCTTGAATTTGATAGTCTTCGTTGCTGCCGCACCACAGCACAATCGAAGGGTGGCTTCGGAGACGTGTAACATTTTGTCTTGTTTCCATCTCGATTGACTTCAAGAATTCGAGGTACGTCGGGTAGGAGGCGCACGCAAACATGAAATCCTGCCAAATCAGGATTCCCAACTCGTCACAGGCGTCATAAAATGCATCGTGTTCGTACACACCTCCTCCCCAAACCCGGATCATGTTTTGATTACCGTCCGCAACCGCATTCTGTAGCCAATTCCTGTACCGATCGGGGGTAACTTGTGACAGGAAGGAGTCGGCAGAGATCCAGTTCGAGCCAGAGCGAACACATCGATGTCATTGACCCGAAAGTAAAACGATTGTCCATACCCATCCCGCTCCTGGACCAACTCTGCCTTGCGGAACCCAACTCTTTGATTATGCTCTGCCAGAACCGTCCCGCCTTCGGCATCGAAAATCCTCACTCGCACGTCGTACAAATTCTGACCGCCGTACCCTCTCGGCCACCACAGCTTTGCACCTTCCAACCTGACCATCGATGCTGAATATTCCCACGTCTCAGGATGCTCCCCATTCTTGATCAACTTCCCCTGTTCTCCTGTGAAAGCAACCATTGTTCTCCCCTCAAAGCCAACTTCCACCTCTGCCCACCCTGCCCGCCCAACAATCTCAACCCACAACCCAATCTCCACCTCCGGTTCTTCTCCCCCCTCGCTCAAATCAACATTATATTTGACCGCCACCTCCCCAATCCTACTCTCATACACCTCTATCCTGACCGGCCTCCAAAGCCCATACGTCATGAGTGTCGGCCCCCAATCCCATCCCCAGTGGTACTGAGCCTTCCTCACCGGGCCCCTGCTCACTTCGGTCTGGTGCACAATAAACTCATGCTCCGGATGGTCCTTCACCAACCGCAAACCCCTCTCCCGGGCATTATCAAAGGTAATCTCCAAGATGTTCTCTTCTTCCCCCGCGACAAAATCGTTAATATTCACCCTCCAACAAACAAACATGTTGTCTGTCTGTTTGATTACCCGGCCATTCAGGGTGATTGTCGCGAAAGTGACCAGGCCTTCAAAGACAAGGTCGATGACGGCATCAGGGTTGTGGGCGGGGGTGGGAAAAGTGAGGCGGTAGATCCATGTCTGGTCGGCTACCCAGGAGGTGGCGAGTTCGTTTAGGTCGAGGAAGGGGTGAGAGAGGAGGGAGGAGTTGATGAGTTCGGTGTGGATGTCTGAGGGGAGGTGGGGGACGGGATGCCATTTTGTGGGGGGGTTGCCCAGGCGGTGGAATTGCCAGTTGGTGGTGAGGGGGTGGGTGGTGTGTGGTTGGGGAGGCATTTTTGTTGAAGGGGTTTGGAGGTGGTGAAAAATGGTTGTTGGCTGTGAGTAAGGTAAGAGTGGTGTTTTGATACATATGTATGATGGTGGTGGTGGTGCCCAATCATGATGAAAATGTGAAATTTACCCGGCTGCGGTTGTGTTTATCCAACAGTATGGGTCGCTCTTCCAGTTTGAGCAGTTGTGTGCTGGGAAGGTGCGATTAGTTATTTCCGTGCCATGAGGCCTCCTCGGTTGCCCAAAACACAGTATGCCTTCCTTCCCGATAACCTCAACATTTTTGCATTGCTTGGTACCAAATCCTCAATCATTTTCATTTTATCATTTTCCCCTTCAACAATGCCACCACCATCAGCAGAGTCAACAGCTTGCCTTGATCAACCTAGAACAAGATGGGTTGAGAACCACTTGACCCCCCGCTCAGGAGCCGTAAGCCTGTGCCCTTTTTCGTATATCGTAGCTATCACGCTCACCAAATATCAAGACTTGTCCCGGCTCTTCCCCGGTACTAATGGCAATTTCTACCTCAAAGCATCTCGCTCAGGTTGACGGTGTGCTACGATACAGGGGCCTCGATCTGCGACGTAGAAAATGTCATCTGACGTTCTGTGACGAGAAAAACGCCGGAGATGTGATCCGGGCCATGTACCATGCTGCAAGATAGTTGTTCAACTTGATACCGTAGCATATACCAAGACCGCTTGACCACTTTCGATATAGGTGGGGTGGTGGAAGAAGATGGAGTGCAGTCAGCGAGTGGACGCCGATCACCGACAAAAATACCCAGCAAAGCCCGGCTTATTCCGGTTATCCTCTCACTTCATCGGAGAACGAGAGGTAGACAGCCTCCAGCCATAACCGGCAAGTTTGGATCTCAGAACATCCGATATGATGGCACATTAGAGCAATGGGGCACAATGCATGACAGTTGGGCCGTCTGCTTCAAGGAGAGCCTGAGGCAAACCATTGAGCAAGAGAAGAGAGTCCATGGCGTACCAACCCTAGGTTCAATACCCTCTGTCAGGCAATGCTCAACGGAGTTGTTGGCCGGCTTCTGGGGCCAATGACGCAAGTCACGCCAGTTCTCGTTCAGGGCAATACATGGGATGGCAATGTTACGATGTCTCGAGGTTCAAATGGAAGAGTAATCCTATTGAATGCCACTCCTTTATGGGCACCGGCCGAGTGTATGTCCCGTACCCTCTTCTGTTGCGAAATGTCCATGCTGACTGCTCATTTCAGACGAGTGGGCTCCGTGGTGGGCTGGAATAGCACAATCAATAGAGACTATATTGCTGAGTATATTTCTCGTTCGCTCTATCATTATTCCAGGCCCAGAAGAAGTTAGGAACTCCGGGTGCGACAATATTACGTGTAAGCCAGGTGCTTTATGTCCGGGATGGGCTTAATTTGGCTAACACCTCTAATGATAAGACAGTTCCTGCTCCACAGGTCAGCCTATTTGAGGGACGCCTGCGGTGGAGAAATAAATAAGTTGCTCTTTACAAATCAACTTGGGAATTAGTTGCTAAATGCTGTTTGCAGGGCTATTGAGTATATGAGATACCTTTACAGGAATGCCTGAGTCAATAGATATGGTACATCATGCCCATGATTTGAAGCATGACTCAGCGGCTTTGTCTTGTTGAGCCTCCAGTTGGGCATCGGGGACTGGTGGCCATGTCCAGAAGGCGATAGCAGGAACAAAGATTAGCGAACAGGTGCCTTGTTTGAATCAAACACGAAGTATGAGCGATGGCTTTCAATCTTGTACGAAACGTAAATCTCTGCTTCTCTTGTTTGGAACCCGCATTTATTTTCTCAACGGCGTGGACATTCATTACCCATACCTAGTCACCCACGTATTCAGCCATAAGCAAGCATCATCACAACATCAGCCATGGACAGAGTCTTGGGAACCTACATCTCCAGCCGTATCTACCGGAGACACAACGACCCTAAGGATCCAGCAAAGTACCACCACAACGAGATCTACGGCAGGACCAATCTCAACAATCCCAAACGTAGAGAGGGCGACCCTTGCAAAGAATGCAGGAAATCTACACAGACGCCTTACAAAGAGACCAAGAATACAGAGCTTGTCGACAGCACAGATCAGGCCAAAAGCCAAGGTCTTTCGCATCATTGGTGGCCAGGAGCTGTCCCCCGAGTGGCTACGCTCTACCAGGGTGAAATGCTATGACTGCGGCACGAATCACACGCATGGCCTGAACTATCGGGCTTTGCGAATGTTTCCATGTTGATACCCGCTATGGACCAGACGATGAAGATAGTTTCAAGGTCAACAGGAAGCTGTGCACATGTGAAAAGGTGAATGAGTGGGGGTTCGAGGTTGGTCCGTACCACCCGCGGGAGGACAAGTCTGGAGGGGTGTTGAGTAGGGTGAAGAACAAGTTGTTCAATTAAAACATCAGAAGTCGTCTTTTCTCCCACTTGCTGCCAACGTCTTTGTTTGAGTGAAGTTGGGGCCAAGAATCTGGGGTAGGGCTAGAACTCTTCCTGTTCAGCCGATGCTCCACACCTGGTGTTCACTGCTCCACAGGGCTGAACTTCATGTTCCACAGAATGTACCACTTTTGTTTGGAGCGCCAGGTACTCAGTAGAAAAGAATGGTATGATCTTTAGATACACTACCAACAACTGCCTTACGTATTTGTGTGTTGTTTACTTTGCTGAAAGCCATATTACAAATGAACATACCGCCGAAATGTGCCGAGCAGAAAGCCTAGAAACCCTTCCATTTCCCGCATAGAAGTACAGTTTGAGCAAAGCCTAATGAGAAACACAACTCCTTGGCCCAAGATGAGGAAACCCAATTAAAAAACATGGTAATCCAGTGTTAAAGAGACCATCCTCCCTGCCTAAATGGCCCTCGCTGCATTCCCGAACCAACATCCAACTCGCCAACCTCTTTGCAAGACTCATGGAGTGCCCTCACCTAGTAGCCGTGCAATCAGAACATAAATAAAGATGATGCCTCCAACCACCAGCATCTTGTTGTTGCGAAGCCAACCTTGCCCTGCTTCTCGTTGCTGAATGACAGCATCCACCACCGCATGGGCTTGGTGGCCGCTCCCGGTAGCAATACCGAGTTGGGGCCCACAAGAAGCAGGGTTCGACTCAACCATCTTCATCCCCGTAGCCGTATCAATCTTGTTTTCTCGCATCCACGCCCAGTTTTCAGCGTCAATTTCTGGCCATTCCGACTTGAACTTGAGACCGCCATCCCCGGCCTTGATGTTGCCTTTACCAGCCTTGCTGTCTCTTTTCAAGTGCGAGCCGCCCCCTGTCGAGTTCCACCACCGAGATCGCGCGGCATACATCCTCCTCTCGGCCTCGGTAGCCGACACCGACCCAGTGGTCATCTCCTCTGATGTCATGAACGAAAGCAGGCCGATCAGAATGGTCGATACCTCCCAGGCCGGATTGAATGATCGTGGGTGGAAATCCGAGATGGAAAGACAGAGACGGCTTGACGGTTGGAACCGGCCGGAGGGGGTGTGCATACGGATCGCTGGTGGGGCGAAGGGGTAGTTGGGAGGGAAAATCAGGGTTCCCCAGTACTGGCCGCCATGGTAGGGGGTGTCCTCAGGACCGGTAATAACATAGTGCCACCTGTAAGAGAAGCTGGTCAGTAGCCGTTCTTGTGCTTGCGCGGGGGAGAGGCGGTTCCTACTCCAGGATATTGGTTTCCGAGGGGTGGGCTTGGATGTACGGAGGTGGGTTTTCAGAGATGCTCTTGTATTCGCGCGTCAACTGGATAAGAGGAACAAGTCAGACATTTCCCCCACGAACGACAGACATGTGGCCAGGCCAGGAGGACCGAGAGAGACACTTACGCGCTTGTGCGCTGCACGACTGGCCATCTTGAACGAGGAATGAGGGACGTGGCTGATCGGGCGGGCGGTGACGGTGCGCTGAGAGAGAGACAGTGTAGTTGCTGAAACGGCCCAAAACTGTAGAGAGAGAGGGGCGCGCAGAGTGTTGAATGCGCTGGACGTTGGCTGGGGATAAAAAGCTTGTGGCAGCGTGGGTGACGAAATCAAGGTTGGAGGGCGAAGGCAAAGAGAGGGTTGCGGCTGACAAGCCCACCGGTCCCAAAGGTGAATGGAAGGAATCAAAGGAAGTGGGGCCTGCGCCTTCTTACGTCAGCGATGCACCGAAGCCAAGATTAAAGTGGACCCGTTTCGAGCGCCCCATTCCCACGGACCCTTGTCCAATCCAATCCGGGACTCTCACTGAAGAGCTTCCGAAGCCAGAGTGATAGCAAGCCTCACTCACAACATGGGAGCCTCTCTCGGCTCCGGCAGCAGCGGTGTAAGTTTACAAGAGAATGGCATTCTACTGTTTGGCCAGCCGGACTCTGGGACTCTGGATGAAGACTATTAACACACCAATCTCACACATAGGCCGCCGTTCCTTCACAACACCAGGCCTACGATAGCAAATCGAATATGGTACAAGACATTTGCTTTCGGCGCTCTTGGCTGCTTATTTTACTGTCTCAGGGTCACTAACAGCACTCCCTCACGCACAGCTCGATGAGCACCTTCTCACCCCTGCTGCTATCAACTCCATTGAAGTGCACGGCGCCTCAAATACACGCCGGTCTATTCTCGATCGTATATTCAAGCCTCTTGTGGAGGGCCCCGAAAACTTATCCTCGACCCTCGGCGAGAGCTTGGAGCGTGTTGGTGCCGCTACCCGGCGGCTCTCCCGTTTTGGTGCGTCTGTGCCTCTTCATCAAGAACTCAGAACCATGCCTAACATGACCTTCACGTAGATATCTTCAAAGAGGACGGTTTCGGGGCATTCATTTCCGAGGCCAACCGGCCTGATGCTCCTCCCAACAGGACAGAGCTGGACATTGCCATTAACGTCAAGGAGAAGTCCAGACTAGTATTCACCGCCGGCACCGACTTTGGCAATGCAGAAGGCTCCGCTTACACCAATGGTGTATTCCGAAACATCTTTGGTGGTGCCGAGACTTTGTCCATCAACGCCAGTACCGGCACACGCACCAGATCAGCCTACAACGCCAGCTTCTCCACCCCATTAAACGCCAACCCAGACATACGGCTGGTCTTGGACGCTCTCCGCTCATCAACACAAAAGCCGTGGGCATCCCATGACGAACACCTCACAGGTGGCAGCCTTAAGCTCTCATGGTTGAGCGACAGCAAAGCTACCCACACCGTCACTTACAACGGGGTATGGAGACAGTTGACCGGCCTGGCCCCCAAGGCTTCCCCCACCGTTCGGGCCGACGCAGGTGACTCCGTCAAGTCCTCAATAGGCCACATATACACTCTCGACCGCCGAGACAACCCCATGCTCCCCCAAAGCGGCTATCTCCTCAAGACCACCTCCGAGCTCGCCGGCTGGGGACCCCTAAGCGGTGATGTGGCCTTTGCCAAAACCGAGCTCGAAACGTCCGGTGCTATCCCATTATCCCTCCCCGGCTCGCAGGCCAAATCAGGTGTTTCCATCGGCGGGGGTGTCCGTGTTGGTCTTCTCTACCCCCTAGCACTGGGCTACAACCCTGCCGCTCCAGCTTGTCCAAGCCGCATCAACGACCGGTTCCAACTTGGCGGCCCTGCTGACGTCCGCGGATTCAAGCTCGGCGGTCTCGGCCCCCATGACGGCGCTGATTCCGTCGGTGGTGACGTTTTCGCTGCTGGGAGCGTGAACATGATGTTTCCTCTTCCTCGTCTGGGTGCGGACTCGCCGTTGAGATTCCAGCTCTTTGCCAATGGTGGCCGAATGGTGGCGCTTCAAAAGAAGGTGGCCACAGGGGAAAATGGGCGGGTGTTGGCCATGGAGCCAAAGAAGGTGTTTGAAGGTGTGGCCTCTGCTGTTGGGCAGCTTGGGAACGGGCTGCCGAGTGTGGCTGCTGGGTTTGGGCTGGTGTATGCCCATCCTATGGCAAGATTTGAGCTCAACTTTAGCCTGCCGCTTGTGCTGAGGAGAGGGGAGGAGGGGAGAAAGGGACTGCAGGTTGGTGTTGGAATCAGCTTTCTTTAAGGTCCCGGTTGTAAGGGACGTGTCAGCGTCAAATGGTTGTATTATTAGTTACCGGAAACAAAAAAGCACAGTCTTAATTCAGTGACACATTATCATTCCATGAGCACTAAGACTCCTGGCACAAGCACGCAAAGAAAGCAATATCAAAATAAATTGGTATCATATTGATTCATCCACTTCTATCATGACCCTTTTTCCCTTTTGACTGTCGTTACTGTCCATGTACAATGGGGGCATTGTGCTATAGACAAGACAAAAAGCAAACCAAATCCAGGATTTATGTACAAGAAAGCAAATTCCAAACTGGAAATGCAATATAAACGACCCGCTTTGCCATGAGGCTCATCAATGGCTGCCTCCCTTCCTAGGTTTGACCCGATACCAAAAGGAGTTCTATTCTTTTAGACATTATATAAAAAATAAGAGAGAAACAAGGACAGTGAAAGATGCAAGAAATGTACATTTGGTATCCGATCGCTTTGTATGTGTGTGTGTGTGTATGTGCGTCTGCTATGTGCTGCTTGCGAGACGGTGGTTATGAGGACAAGATGGTGTAAATGCTTTGGTGTCTGGTGAGACCAGGATTAAGCAGGGGCGAAGCAAAAACAAGTCGCAAGATATCAAGAGCAAAAGCGGACTTTGCCTCGATGCCGGTGTGGAGGGGAGATCATGATGACGGGAGGTGTGGGGACAAGATGCGCATCGTGTCATGACACGAAAGACGAACTCGTACCACCTCACCCAAGCATCATCGTTTTCGTCGTCTTCGTTACTTGGCTGAAAATTTTTGTTGGGTCTTTTTCGTGGGTAGCAGGAGAAGACCGATCTACTCCTTCTTCGCCTTGGCACCGAGCTTCTTCTTGGGTACACGGACGAGCCAGTATACACCGAGAGCAGCGAAAATGTTGAAGATGATGAAGGCCCAGAGGATACTGCAAAGGGAACAAGGTTAGCTGGTTGAACATGAAAAGAATGAAGAGAGAGTGGAATCACATACCCAAAGTTGCGCCATCTGTCGTCATAGTTGGCGCCGACCTGAGCAAGGAACACGTTGGTGTCCTTGATGGTGCAGAATGAGCACATGTCGGTGCTGTTGGGATTGGTGAGATAACCACCGGCAATCTCCATGTAGGATTCGAGGTACTCGAAGCAAGTTTGACCCGAGGGGGGCGCAAACTTCTGCAACTCATTGGCAGCGCAGACGACTTCGGAGTTGGCGACAGCGGTGGACAGCATGGCGCTGACAAGGTACGTGAAGGGACTGACGCGATACATGAAGATCCAGAACCTGGGCATGGTTTCAGGGGTAGCCAGGACACCGCAGAAGATCAAGCACAAACTGAAGAGCAAGTTGGCGATGTTGCCGCCTGCTTCGGCCGTCTCAAAACCAGCAATGATGAAATCAGTGAAGGTGGAGGTGAACAGCATGAAGGCGACCAGGAGCAGGAACATGAGAGCGCCACGCTCGGCAGTCTGGCCGGCGGCGGCAGCGTTTGCATCAAGCCCGACGGGGTAGTACCAGGTGACGAACATCAGAGCGGCCATGAGGGTGTTCCAGGGGAGCTCAACAATGATCTGCGAGAGCATAAAGACCTTCCAGCTGTAGACTTTGGAGGGACGCTCGCGGACCTCATACAAGGAGCGTTGGACGACGAAGTGAGGCATAGTCTGCTGTACGAGCTGGCCGAAGACGGTGAGAATGTTGAAGATGGCAAACATCTGGTTCTGGAGACCCTGGATGGTGTTGGGAGCTTTGAAAAAAACGAAGCCGATGAAGAGCGAGACGATGAGGCAGAGAATGGCCTTGGAGTAAATGTAGGTGGGAGTGCGCCAGTATTGCTGGAAGACACGATGGGTGACACTGCGGAGTTGCTCGCCGAAGGGAGCAGCGAACTCACGATAACTTCCATCGTCGGTGGCGAGGGCATCAGAGGGCTTGGCCTGGGCCTTGAGACGCTGAAGCTCTTCCTGGACGGCAGCATACTCGGGACTCTCGCGCCAGGCCTGGTGCCAGTCGACATTGGTAACACTTCCAGGGGCAGCACCGATAACCTCCAACATCCACTCAGCGGGGTTGGCGTCAGCAGGGCAAGGGAAGCCACCATTGCGCTCAAAGTAGGAAGTCATGGTCTTGGAGTTTTCGCCGATATCGCCAAAGTACACAGTCCTGCCACCCTTGGCCAGAAACAAGAGTCTGTCGAAGCGCTGGAAGAGCATGGCCGAGGGCTGATGAATGGTGCAGAGAATGGCTTGTCCGCTCTTGGTGAGCTTCTCGAGAAGATCCAAAATGGCCCAAGATGTTTGACTGTCGAGACCGGAGGTAGGCTCATCAACGAAGAGGAGCAGAGGGGGCTTGGCAGCAAGTTCGACACCGATAGTAAGACGCTTGCGCTGTTCAACGTTGAGACCTTCGCCAGGGACACCGATGATGGCGTCAGCGTATTCCTCCATTTCCAAAAGCTTGATAACCTCATCAACATAAGCGAGCTTCTCTTCGCGGGGGACGTGCGCGGGTTGACGAAGGAGAGCGCTAAAGTTCAAGGCCTCGCGAACGGTGGTAGTTTGAAGATGAAGATCCTGTTGCTGAACGTAGCCGGTCTTGCGCTGGAAAGAAGCGTCTCTGGGAAGGCCATCAACAAGCATTTCTCCCGTGATAACACCCATGGAGGTTCGGTCAGCCAAGCAGTCGAGAAGAGTGGTCTTGCCAGCGCCGGAGACGCCCATGAGAGCCGTGAGAGTACCGGGCTTCACCCATCCGTCCACATTGTTCAGGATCTGGCGAGTCTCCTTCTTGACCTTGACCTCGTAGCAGACGTTGTTCCAATGGAAAACACTAGTCGAGCCCTGGATGTTGCCACTCTCCTTATCGGACTGGTACCCAGCAGCCGCCTTGGCAACAGGTCCAGCAACAGCGACACCGCCAGATTCGGCATCACCCTTGTTCTCCTTGAAGGACGCAGGCTTGTGGCCGCGACGGAAGAGCAAGACCTCACCCTTGCTCTTGGCAGCAGAGACTGTCTCAGCCGCAAGCATGTAGGTGGTGGTGAAGAAGGCGATGAAGGCGAGCAAGATACCAAAGTTGCGCCACTTATGAGACACGTAGTACTTGAAAGCCGAGTTGATGTAGTCGTCGCCATTGACAACAGATGAGCCAGCAATGGAACCGATGGCGGAGCAAGCGCGGTTGGCCGGGCTAATGTCACCATAACCAGGAATCAGGAGGTTAGGCACAAACTGGGTGCAAGTGAAATTGCGACCGTGGAATTCGTTGACCATGAGAGACTCGAAGGAATAGGCCAGGGGATCGATGTAGTTGATCCAGCGGCACCATCCAGGCATGTAATCGATGGGGATGACGAAACCAGTGAAGATGACCAAGGCGAGAATGATGGCGGCGGCGGGAACCATGGCCTGCGAGAGCGTTCTTGTGGAGCTGGCAATTGTCCGGAAGATCATGGACATGACCAGGACAGTGAAGAACGAGAACAGCAGGAAAAAGAAGAAAGCGCCCGCTTCCCGACGCAGATTCGTCATGAAGTACAAGGTCAGGTTGAAGACGAGGGTGTTGGCAATCTTGTATGGCAAATCGCACAGCATCGAGGCGATGGCTTCAGCAGATGGGTGGTAAAGAGCGTAGGCCTTGTGTTTTTCGACAATGGGACGTTGCGAGTAGAGAGTGAGAATTTCGAGAGCACTGGAGAAGGCGTTCATAAGACAAGCGAAGAAGAGCAAAGCGCCACGTTGGTAGAAGCTGTCCGTTGTGGGTTGGAGGTTGTAGAAGATACTGGAGATGATGAGAGCCATGATGGTGTTTCCAACCAGAGCACCGATGCTCAGACTAGGATCACCGGTCAGGCGCTTCCAACCTCTCCAGAGGCACAGCTGAATCTGCTGCATGTAGGAGAGGGTGAAGGGCGACTTGACACGCTGGCTCTTGGCCTGCTGGGCCTGCTTGGACGCGCGGAAAGCTTCAGCATCGGGACCGTTGATGGGATGCGACGCCTTGTAGGCTTCGATCTGGGCCTGCAGAGCCTGGTACTCGGGGCTCTTCTTCCAGGCGGCAGCGAACTCATCGGGTGTGCGGGGAGCCTTGTCCTCCCATCCAGGACGCACAACACGCTCCAGGGGACTTGTCATGGAAGTCAAGAAATCGGGGGTGGTCTGGCGAGAAGGGCAATCGAAGCCGAGTCTCTCGAAGTACTGACGGGCCTCGCTGGCCTTTCCGAAGAAGATCTGACGTCCTTCGTAAAGCACGAGGGCCTTGTCGAAAAGGTCGTATGCGCTCTGGGGAGCCTGGTAGATGGAAACGCAGCAAGTGCTCTGGAAAAGGTCGCTCGACATTTTCAGGTTCTTGCAGAACTCGATGGCATTGGCGCTATCGAGACCTCTTGTGCTGTTATCCCAGCACTGAAGAGGGGCACCGGACAGGGCAGCCTCGGCAATGGTGACACGCTTGCGCTCACCACCAGACACACCGCGAATGTACTCGTTACCTACACGGGTGTTGACTGTGTGGCTGATGCCGAACATGGCCATCACAACATCCCTCAAGTGCTGGGCAAACATGTTCTTGGAGACCCCTGGGGGAAGTTGGCGGGGCGCGCGGGCGCGGGCAGCAAAAGTGAGGGTGTCGCCAACTGAAAGCTGGGGGAAATGTGTGTCGACCTCAGCCGTGTAGATGGCTTCACCACGATGGTGCGTATGCATCTCCTTGGCAGTCATGCCTGAAGCACTGGTTAGCACGGCGTGTTTGTCGGCCAGATCGGCGCAGATTTCACATACCTTGGTAGTTGAAGTACGAGTTCTCATCCATGTAGATGCCGTTGTAGTCACCGGCAATGGTCTTGAGAAAGGTACTGCAGCCGGAACCTGGGGGACCAAGCACAACAAGCATCTCTCCCTTCTCGACCACACCATCGAAATCGCGCAAAATGTCAATGCGACGTCCCTTGTTGCCGGTCAGCTTGCGGGCGAGCCCAACGAGCTCGAGCCAGACGTTGGCAACATCCTTCTGATAATCGGTGGGCGCGCCGAAGCCGAAGACGTTCAGGTGCTGGAAAGCAACACCGCTGGTCCGGAAAGAGGCGCCCCGGCCGTCCATCATGCTCACGACAGCCTTTGCCCAGGCCTTGCTGTTGAAATTGGGCCCATTGGGGTTGATGGGCGAGTTCTCATCTTGAAGGGCGGCTTCGAAGACATTGGTGCCGGGCTCGACACCGTAATGCGACTGTGAAGTGTACTTGCGCGCCAATGCAAGAACGGCGCTGTGGCGGCGCTCCTCCTCAATGGCTTCCTCATCCTCGTCGGCGGCATCGGTGATGTTGCCCTTCTCATTGCGAATAACGGCTTCACTGTCGGCCACCTCAGTCAGGGACGTAGCCCTCGTCCTGCTCACGTCGTTCTCATTCCGTCCCGGTGAAGAACCCCCAGCAGTCACAACCTCCTCCCGCTGCTGGTCGTTTGTCGTCGTTCGCCCAAGAGGCGCTCCGGTACTCTGCGCCGTGAGGTCGTAGTTCCCGAAGGAACCTGCCCCAGTAAAGGACATGGTCGGTTCGTTGGCTGTCTCCAGGTAGTGGCAGTTGGCGAATGGGGCTGTGAGACAAGATCGGTGTCTATCACTCAGTCGCAAACACTCAAAGTCCTCGAAAGTCGTACAGTTCGAAGAGCAGCAACGGCGCAAAGAACACCAAGAACACCAAGAAACTGGCAAAAGTTAAAGAACGAGAGACAAGAAGACGAACAGTCCCACGACGCGTCAGAATACAACGACGACGAGTCTGGTTCGATTGCACTAGAAAAAAAGACCTTTGCTTGGCCCCGATCGGGGGTCGCGAATTATAAAAGTGACAAGTCTGGGCAGACGGAGTCTTCGCAGGGCCCGAGCGGAGCTAGTCGAGATCTGGGCAACGGGGTTTGCGCCCACCACGCAGTGCGAGACCTGCCCACCGCCCCGGGTTCTTCTTCTCTTGTTGTTCGCCCAGCTTCCAGCTCCCAGCTCCCAGTAACCACTTCACAGGGAAAGTTCCCGGCAGCAAGCGTGAGCCTTGTGGAGCTGGATCCCCGCCGTGGGCTGTCTCTTCATTGGGTTTGCCGGGGCGTCCAAGGCTTCGAGAGAACAAACTGGCGATGTGTATGATGCTGACACGGCTCCCGTATGTAATGCATTACGCGCCGTGCAGCCGGTTCCGACACTTCGTGAATCTCTCTGTGACTTCGAGCTCGATCGTGCCATCTCTATGACGGATTGTTCTCACGCATAAATGTTTGGTATCGACATGTTGTGGTGTAGGGGATACTTGCCCCCTTTGGCTCGTTTTCGTTCCCCAGAACCCTGATCAATGCTTGATCAGGCAACGGGTGAGATCGTGGATATCGTTAGCGGGGTTTTTGGTCCATTCACCGGCATGCGAAATTGCACCGTGGGTCCGTTACATCAGCTTGTTCCTGGGCTTCTCTCCCCCACCAACCGTCAGTCAAGGGGGAAAAAAAGTGTTGGTGTTTGCCTCCCCCACAAACAGAGCAGAACCTCCGCCCCCTTATCAATCTGGATCTGTCAGCATACGTTGCCATCATGCCCTCCAACAAGTAATCATCCCTCGAAACCACAGCTGTCTGTGCTCGGTCATTGTGAAAGTCGGGACTGTGTGTCTTTGCGCTTTCGCACTCGAGCCCCTCGTTGTTCCCCTGAGTCCTGACTAGAGACCCCCGCCTGTCTGTCTCAAGCACGTGGGGAACACCCGACCCCCAGAGATCAATAAAAGGTCTCATCTTTTGGAAGGCCTTGGCGTTTTCTATCCCACCCAATCCAGGCGCAAGGGAACGGGACTAGACGGGACGAATATCTTCTGCGGATCAAACGCCATCCGAAGAAAGTATCCCGACATGCCGGGATTCATGTGGGCCACTGACGGTCTCAGCCCCCTTGGCTCGCAGACTTTTCGGGGTCCATCAAAAGTCCGATAGCCCGCCCTGCCCTGCCGTGACAAGACGTCGCGGAATGCCAAATATCACCATTTCACCAGCACAACGGCTCCGGGAGAGGCCCGCGCCGTGCTCTGATCTGTGTCCGGCCCGGCTCAGCCCTACAAGATCGGAAGTCTTGTGGAAGCCGGTGCACTTGTCACATCCGGTGTCAAGCAGGTTGATATCGGCTAGTCCGCTCCGTATGGACTGCCAGCTTTACGCGTACTGTCGACCGCTCAATGCTCGCTAGACCACTCCGAGGTCAGATTCCCGATCCCGATTACGAGTACGAAACCGCGTCCCAGTCAAACTGTCAAACAGTGTCAAGACTGTGCCATCTGGTCCTGTTGGCTCAGACCCGATCGCTGATTTGGTTGTCAATGAAAAATCAGTCTAATAATCGTAGCAGAGTACTAATCAAGATGTCGCTGAGTAAGCGATGCCCAACAAGATCATATATCTCTTTGATCTCCACCATGTTCTGATTTCAGAATTGCCACACTCAAATTTTACATTTCACAGTTGATGACCTCCTGACATGACCAGATACCTCGATGCCAAACGTCTTCTGCCCCACTGTTGCCCACTCACTCTCTCACCGTCTAGTGGTTACTGGTGGCAAGTACATGTTTGATGTTTTTGTATGATATTTTGGCTGTATGAATCTTAAGCACTTCGTTCAACGGTGCAGCCCGTGATCGTCAACGAGCTCAAATAAGAGAGTGAATATTGACCGAGTTGTTCATGTTCACTTCTGGCTAGCTATAGACATGATGTCAAAATGGTTTTGTGGATCTATGCTTTCCAGAGAGAACAGTGGCTCTAAGAAAAATAAAATCATATGTACTAACAGAATGCAATTGCGCTAGTTTGATTCACACTGGCACGCCATGGACAAAAAAGGTAACTGGCACTGCAAAAGTACCGAACTGTACCTTGAGAGGTATTTAATGGGCATTGAAACATAGTAATACACCTCTCTGCTTTTAAAAAGTTGTAGGCGACTCAGGTGCTTTACAGACAAACGATTTGCCAATTCCGTAATATCTTCCTAATCTCAGACATTTGAAAATTGATAACGTACATTATAAGCGAGTGCACCATATAAGCGAGTGCACCACTTTTTAAGCGACGCACTATCCTTCCACCCAACATCGACTTTTTCTACACAACCCAATATGCCTTCTACTTTAAAGGAAGCCAGGGTGATCTTAGCCCTCGAAGCTCTTGAAAAAGATAAAAATCTCAGCCTCCGAGCCGCAGGAAAGATCTACAACGTCCACCATACGACTCTCTTACGACGACGCGCTGGCCGGCCTGCACGACGCGATACCACGCCCAAATCGAAGAAGCTTACTCAATCCGAAGAGGATGCTATTGTTCAATACATCATTGAGCTATGTGCGCGAGCTTTTCCACCAAGATTACGTGGTGTGGAAGATATGGCCAACCAACTGCTACACGTACGCGACGCGCCCCCTGTTGGCAAGCTCTGGGCACACAACTTCGTCAAACGCTAGCCACAGCTCCGTACGCGTTTTACGCGTAGATACGACTACCAGAGGGCTAAGTGCGAGGATCTAAAGGTTATTGTCGAGTGGTTTGCGCTTATACGGAACACTAAGGCCAAGTACGGTATTATAGATAACGAT